CTGCTTCTTCTTCTTTTTCTTCTCCTTGCCTGGCTCCTTCAGTATTTCCACATTGACTGCTTTCGTAGCCTTCGATGGCCCTATATCTGTCTTCACTGGAGCCTTTGAAGGAGTCTTAAGCTGGATATGCTTCTTCCCCTTGAGCTTTGGGGCCTTTGAGGTGGTCTTCTTCACCTGGATATCAGTTGGTCCTGACGCTGCCGCCACCGCCCCAGAAAGCTACAATGTTACAAACGGTTGATATTAGCCAGGCGAGTAAGGGCTTAAGAGTGGATGGACGGAGAGACGAGGCTAGGCGAGAAAAGGAGAGGAGCAAGAGGTGAGAGGTTCAGTTTATTTTGGTCATTTTTCTTAAGCCAAACAACTGACAAACATTCAGATATATATTTGGAAATATACATCAAGGCAACAGAGAAAGGGTGAAAAGAAAAGAAACGCCTTACAGTATCGGTACCCATCTTGCTTGGAGGACTATCACTTTGGGCTCAGTGAAAGAAGCTCTGCGCGGAGTCCATATGACCGCCAACTGAGTCCTCTGATACGGCTCAACCACTATGTATAAAGTTGATTGAATGGAAACGGGACGACGAAGCACTGGGGATATTTTATATGTTTGTCTCTCTCTGCTAGACAGGTGAAGGCAACTCTCTTATATGCCTGCTAAACAGCAGGTTGTGCCCTTTGTTGAGGTTGAATCCAGTCCAAGACAAAGATCCTTCGATTCAGCTCAATAATTATACAATAATAGCAGCGCTTCTTAGCCCGTTCTAGCTGGTAGAGGCGCGTAACAGTGCCGGCGATAGCTTTATTGGAATCTATCCTGCCCGAAGGAAAAATATGCAAGTCCAAAAGCCATCATAATAGCGGAACAAAACTTAAGGGAATTTATTATTTTGCAGCGGACGAACACACTTCATCATATATCAAATCCACAGGAACTGTTGCCGTTCACGATATCAAAGCTACCGCGCGGAAAGTACCGTGGTATAATTTCTTCCCAACAACAGAAAAACAGCGGAAGAGAATTCTGCAAGCCTGACCGGATCAGATATCGACTTAAGGAGAAACAAAGGACGCGTTTATCTTCATGCTGTTTGCCGTTTCAGCTCAACCATCGCCAAAGACAGAACGAAGAAAAAACTGCCCTTTGTGGCAAAAAAACGTTAATTAACTAAAGGGGTTGATAACTAATGCCAAGACGCCAGTCAATCTTAGTTAGGGCAAGCAAGGCTTCCTTCAGGTGAAACGAAGATGCGGTCGGCATGTAGAAAACGACGAAGAAACACTGAAGAAGGGCATAGCTCTGAAGGGAGCAACAATGCAGCGCCGGAGATACCGCCGTCGCGTCTGTGCCGAGGCAAAGTATGGTTGCCATTTGTTGATCCCCAGATGAACGATCCTGATTGATTGATATCAAGACTAGTTCACGACATCTGTGTGGTTCATACTGATATGCACTGACTGTGCAGGGCCATGTGGAGGACATGGTTGCTACGCCACCGGTTCCAAAGGAAGCGTGGTGAATCTGGATTCGTCTAGAGAAACCAACGCAGTTTAAGTACTCTGTCTTCCACATGGCAGACGTACATGACTCATTAGTTAACTAGTTATTCTGCAGATGTTTTTTAAGAGAATCCAGGAACTACTATATTGGTCATACCAAAAGCGGGGATGGTCTATTCCTCCAGAGAATAATGGCCTGTTGCGATAACTAAACAATTCCCACTGGAGATTCTCCATGGGGAGCGGAAGTACCCGCAAATGACAACCCTATTGTTACCTATCAATATCGGCCGTCTTATCGTCGCTCCGTTGGACACGATTTGCCTAACTGCCAATAATAACATCTAAAATTGCTGAAAAGGAAAAATTACGGGGTACGAGTACGTCAAACGTACGGAGGAATTAAGGGTGAGAACTGGTCTTGCAACTTATCATCAAATTCCATCTTGGCGAGTGGAGCAGTTTTCCGCCCTTCGAGATAGCCGGCATTACCCCCTGGAGTGAGCAAAAGATGACTCGTATGATACGGAGTACTCACACCTCCAGCTTCGGCTGTAGACCAATGCGGAGCAGCAATTGCGATGGCATGTTGCTGCCCGCTGCGCAGTTGTTCATCGAAGGGCCATTAGAACTGCTTTTCTTGGCTGTTCAACTAACGATGACCCGGTAGTCCGAACATCCAACTAGTTAACTCCGTACGGACATCAGCCGTGTGAGCAAGTCCGAATACTCACCAAGACATCAGGTCTCTCGACTCACAAATTCATATTCCTCAGGCTTGAGCTGTCTGGTCAGTGAATACGTCCTTGTGCCGGGTGAATAACCTTAACACCCCGTTGTATGCTGACACATAAATGAATATCAACCGAGTGGAACACAGCATGAGTCTTCCAGAAAAGGAAAGGTCATGGAAAAATACCCGAGGAACTTCAAAGTTTTCTAGAAGGAAATAAAGTTTTTATAACTATCAACTTCGCCCGCGGGTGGATTCAGGTTCATCAATTTTAAGGCGCCGAGAACATGTCATCATAGAGATGGTTTGTCTGTCCGAAGAGAAGAGGCATGCCCACGACGGTAGAATCAAAGGGTTGAAAGAGATATTTCGTTTCCGGGAGAAAGCTAGATAGGTAGCTTTCCCCCAAACCAGCTACCAAGAATGTAGCGCCCAGTGACGTATGTGTACAATTTCCCACTCTGTGCAAAGTGAATAGAAGGAATGGCAAACGAAGACCGGAATACTTTCATCCCCCCAGGTTATATAGCCGGACGATAAGGTCGAGATCATTTCCGGGGTTTGGACCTGATTCTTAGCCGAGTGTACGGCGAAGTTCCCCATATTCCTCGTGTGCGCTTGTCCGGTGCGGGTACAGAGTCCCAGAGGCGAATTTAAAAGGGCTTTGGTTTCCTCTCCCCACAATCCCAGGAATTCTGTTCTTCCCTCTGACCTTTCTTCCTTCTCCCTTGAAAAAGCTCAAATTCTGGTCTTGAAGGAGAGTTGCCTGTCGATTCTCGAGCAGGTGCTAGGTATCTTCATAGCTAGGTTGGCCATATTGACGTATATACCTCCAGAATGGCCACGGAAAAGGTGGAGGGCGTTTCCATGGAGGAAACAAGCCCGGGGGTGCAGCAATTTGCCTCCTCTAGCTCCGACATGGCGATAGAAGAGAAAGGTGAAGAGCTTGGTTTCTGGACTCGGCTGGGATGTACGCCTGAGTCGTTCAAAAGACGGCGGTTGGCGGGTGGGAACCAGCTCAACCAGACGCTCAAGTCTCGACATTTGCATATGATTGCAATCGGCGGAAGTATAGGTGCAGGCCTGTTTGTTGGATCAGGCTCTGCGTTGGCAAAGGGCGGTCCTGCGTCGCTGGTGATCGACTTTGCGATCATCGGTGTGGTATGTTGTCTTTGGTTAACAGTCTCAGGTTTCAGGAGAAAACTAACATTGATATAAACAGATGATGTTCAATGTCGTCCATGCGCTGGGCGAGCTAGCCATCCTCTTCCCTGTCTCCGGTGGATTCTACACATACTCTGCCCGCTTCATTTCCCCATCGTGGGGATTTGCAATGGGCTGGAACTACGTGTTTCAATGGCTTGTGGTCCTACCGCTGGAACTAACGGTCACATCTCTTACGATAACGTACTGGGAAGTGGATATCAGTGTTGCGGTATGGATAACTGTTTTCCTGGTCGCTATAGTGATCATCAACATCTTTGGAGTGCTCGGATACGGAGAGGAGGAATTCTGGGCCAGTGCGATCAAACTCACCGCTATTGTCATTTTTATGATAACCGCTATCGTGCTGTCGTGTGGAGGCGGCCCGAAGGACGGACTATACGGGAAGTACTGGGGAGCGAGACTCTGGTATGACCCGGGGGCCTTTCGCAATGGCTTCAAGGGTATGTTGGTCCTTCACCACCGGACAATAAATGTGTCTATGTCTTTTTTCTACAAGAACAGGCTATCACCCGAATCTTGACGAGAAAGTTACTGACTGAGGAATAGGATTCTGTTCCGTCTTTGTCACGGCAGCCTTTGCCTTCTTTGGCACGGAGCTAGTTGGGCTGGCGGCAGCGGAAAGCAGAACGCCTCTCAAATCTCTCCCGTCCGCTATCAAACAAGTCTTCTGGCGAATCATCCTCTTCTATATCCTGGGCCTCTTCTTCGTTGGGCTGCTGGTACGGAGCGACGATAAACGACTACTTGGCGCCAACACCTACTCAGATTCTAATGCCTCGCCCTTTGTAATTGCCGCTAAGGATGCAGGCCTGCATGGCTTCGACAGCTTTATTAACGTCATCATCCTTATATCAGTCCTCTCCATCGGAAACTCTGCTGTGTATGCCGGATCTCGAACCTTGACAGCCATCTCCGAGCACGGGTATGCACCCCGTATTTTCTCATACGTCGACAAGGCGGGCAGGCCGCTGTTCTCAACCATATTGGTTATTGTTTTTGGAGGGCTGGCGTACGTGAACGTTTCCGGAAAGGGGCCAGTCATCTTCGATTGGTTGCAGGCTCTCTCCGGGTTGACTGCCCTCTTCACCTGGGGAAGCGTGAGTTTACTACCCTTATTCCCCTCCTAGTACTCTGTGTCACATTTCCTGTTTAGGCGAGCTGACAGAAGCAGATATGCTATTCTCACATACGCTTCCGAGCGGCGTGGGCACATCAAGGTCGGACATTAGACGAGATTCCCTTTAGGGCCTGTTTTGGAGTGTACGGATCTTGGGTCGGCCTATTCATTATCTTTATTGTCTTCATTGCCCAGGTATGCTATGCTTATCCTCGCCCCTTCCCGTCTTTGTCTCAGGTCTTGATATGTGTATGTATGGTGATAGTCTAACCCCTGAAATAGTTCTACATTGCGGTATCCCCACTCAAGGGCGAGGCCTCAGCCGAGGGCTTCTTCAAGGCTTACCTTGCCCTCCCTGTAGTGCTCTTCTTCTGGCTGTGCGGCTGGCTCTGGAAGCGACAGGGCTGGACAAAGATCGAGGACATAGACGTCGACACCGGTCGCCGAGAGATTGACTGGGAGGAGCACAACCGCCAGATTGACCGGATCAAGCAGTCATCCTTCCTCAAGCGAATGACCCATCGATTCTTCTAAGTCTCCGGATAACTATACTCCGTAAACACACAGGTATGTAGGGACGCTAGATATACTCAAGAATCTGATCGTTTGCCTGCAGTGTAATATTTAATCCAATCAAAACCTGTTCAGTAATATTCAAGCATCTGCACTCTCGCATAGCAATTCTTCAGCGGACAACAGATCCAAGCCATGAAAAAGCAAACAAACCCAAGACAAAAAAAGGGTCTCAAGTCTTGATCTTGTTCGCTTCTTGCCCCAGAAGGCCACCAAGAGGCCAAGCATGGCCCCATGGGGGGCGTAATGTGCGCATCCATCTTGCTTCCGCCTCAAGATGGAGATCCAGCGCTGTCTGCCAAAATTGTCATCCAAAACATCCAGCTACTATTACAACGACTCTGAACATCTAGATCCAAAGTAGAAAAGACGATCTGGTTCGGCCGGGAGAGCCGCCCGTATAGCTACATCTTATCGTCCGAGATGCCCATGTACCGCGTCTAAACCCCCTGTTTAGCCAAAAGAAACGACGAGATGAAGATATATATTCAACGTCGTCCGTCGCTTTCAACATCAGCAGCTAATAATGACCACACCGCGCAAACACCGCGATCGGTTGCCCATCCCTCTCCCGCTGGCTAGGCATGGCAGTGGAGAAGAGCCTTGCGTCAGACTGTCGCTTCTCTTCGTGTCCCACAGCAAGGATGCATGCTCCAAGGAGCGACCAGAACGAAGCCGGTGCCCAGGGCGGACAACGGACAAACTGGGCTGCCCAAAACTTCGCCTCCGTCCCGAGAGTTGGTCTGGAGGGCTTCCCGAGATCTGGCTGAGAACGGAGAACCGAGACGAAGGGCAGATCCATGTCTACCGATTCCCGATGCCGTGAATGTCTCTTCTAGCTGCGCCGATGCTGGGCAGCGCCTTGGACGGCCTGAAGCCTTCGCGAGAGAGCCGTCCACTAGTCAAGCCGCGCGAGCCAAAACGTGAAGAAAGCCACTGAGGTACGACCTAAGGAGCTCATTCTACCTAGCGTCTAACGGCCAAGCGGGAATTTTCTGGGGTCTGATATGCATGGAAGGGCCCCCGTCTGCAACAAGATTGAAGTTTGAATTAAACTGTATGTTCGGACTCGCCCCGGGGTCTCGGGTTGCGTTTGGCTCAGGGATGAAGCTCCAAGGCGCATCGTATACCAACAAATAATACCACCGCCGCAGGAGCAGGCAACAAGAAAATAAAAGAAAATATAAAGAACGAAAAAAAGGAAAAGACAAAGGAGAGAGAGAGACAAAGTGAGATGGACAAGGACGTGTGACTTGTCGACGATGATCACGATAATAATAAGAAGATGGACGAGAATGCTAAGACGAGACGAGCAAGATGAGCGTTGCGAGCGGTGCAGGCAGGATTAATCTAAGAGTCTTTCTTGGCCGCCTCTTGGAGGTTCCTCAGATTACTATGGGAAATGTGCTATCTTTCCAAGGCGAGGGAAGCTGTTCCACCGCTGTTTGAGCGCATGGCGACGGGTTGGCGGTTATACAATATCGTTCTCCAGGGGGTGTGGCCATCGTGGAAGGGTGTATGGCAGGCAGCCAACCAAGCCAGCCATGCAGCTGGGGCCATTGCTGCCTCGTGTCTCGAACTACCGGGTGGCTCTCCTAGCCTCCGAGATACATCTCGACAAAGGGTACGCCCACTTCGACAGAGGTTTATTTACTCTTCTTTAAGCTTGAGTTGCAGCCAAGGACTATAGACGTCCAGTTATCGCGATCTTCAGCCGTTCCGTGTCCATACCGTGTCTATAAAAAGCGATCAGGATGCATCCCGACTTTCCCCCGAACGAAACGGTGCGCAGAGCTAGCAGGGCCAGCAGGGGTCAGGGCAGCAGCCGTCTATTGCGACACTGCTACTCCGTACCTAGACTGCTTATACTTGGAGCTGCTAAGGCTGCTTCTGCCAGCATGAGATATTTAGCATCGTTACAGTGGTCAAAGATAAGGAGCACTTGGCCAACTCTATGGCCCACCGCAAGCTTCAACCAGAATCACGACATCCGCAGCCACACTACCCAAGCCGCCAGTAGACAGGCCCTAGCAGGAGAAAGGAGAATAGGCAAGACTGATTAAGGCTTTCCAAGCCCTCTCGTTTAATATTTCCAAGGCTTCTTCTCCCAGTGGCGTATCTCGAACGTGATACGGCTGCCCTGAAGGACCTTTGGGCGCTTTAGGACGGAGAGTATGGAACAGCTTAGCATGGTACGATGTCGGGAGGGTGTTTTGAGAGTCGAACTGTTGGTGCAGACTGAGCCCCGACTGTGCTGCCCCTGCTGAAGGATCCTGACCTGTCCAGCCAACTTTTTATCCTCTTGCCTCGGTGGTAGGGAAGACGGCTTCGGTTCCTCTCTCCACATGGCAGTCCACGAGAATAGTTAACCAGGCCCACGAGAAATGACCATGCAGCTGGGAAATGAAGAAAAAGCAACACCTCCCCAACACGGCATCTTCTCGACCATGGACGCCTGCGTATCTATATACGGCTTCGGAAATATAGTGGAAGCTCCCCGGACGAAGATCGATGGTCTGAACTCAAGGTTTTTGCATTCGTTTAGCGTTTGCGCCAGGAGGCTTCTCGCGCTTGCCAAGTTGCAGCTGACGACAGGGCGGCCATGTATGACGCTACAGGGGTTTCACCTCTAATATACTGCAGCTGGCCGGGCAGACAGACATACATACTGAGACGGAAAGACATATGGTATTGCAGTGTCGACACGACGTTTTCTTTTGTCGTTTCCTTACCCGTCTCCCCGGTAGCGCATGGCTTGATACGACTCTAACCACATGGACAGCTCGTCGCCAAGGGTTTCAATCCAGCCGTCTGTCTCCGGCTGCGAGATATAGTCCGCTGGTACGGAGTATAGATATAAATACCGCCAGAGGTACCTCAACTGGCCGTCTTTTTTTCCATCAGCCAGCATCCATTGTCTAGCAGTAGCGGACAGTAGAAGCAGAAAACACACAGTCATCATCATGTCTGCCAGCAAACTCGGCCGGGCCCTGGCAAAGGGCGTGGGAATCGATGTTGACTATAGAAAGGAGCCCCGGGAGTCGATGCGCACAGCTGCAGAGTCCATACGGTCGCTAGAGCACTTTGACGAAGATGAGCCATCGGCAAAGGAGTGGTTGATGAACCATAGGCCTACAGCGAAGGGCGCAGTCGACTACCTCAATTCTCTCTTCCCCTTCTGGAACTGGATCTTCCACTACAACACCCAATGGCTCATGGGTGATATCATCGCCGGTAAGCTGTCTCCTTTTGCTCTTTCAAGATTTTTATATACATATATGCTGATGGCGTAGGTGTCACTGTTGGCTTTGTTGTCGTACCTCAGGGCATGGCTTATGCTCTGCTCGCCAGGCTCCCCCCAGAATACGGACTGTACACCTCTTTCGTCGGCTTCATCCTCTACTGGGCCTTTGCCACTTCAAAAGATATCACCATCGGAGTAAGTAAACAACCTCAGTCATCCCAACGGAGCCGATTGATCGAAAATTGCAGAATATATCTAACAGACCTCTAGACCGTCGCTGTCATGTCTACCATCGTCGGCAACATCGTCACCAAGGTCCAAGCGAAGGAGCCTGATATTTCGGCCCCTACTATTGCCCGAGCCCTCTCCCTCATCGCTGGTGGGTTCCTACTCTTCATTGGCCTCACCAGACTCGGCTGGATAGTCGAATTCATCCCTTTGGTTGCTATCACCTCCTTCATGACTGGTGCCGCCATCTCTATTGCTGTCGGCCAGATCCCGGCTATGATGGGCCTCCGGGAGGTAAACAACAGAGAATCAACTTACAAGGTTTTCATCAATGTCCTCAAGAACCTGGGTCATACCAGACTTGATGCTGCCATGGGCTTGAGCGCTCTTGTTGTTCTCTATGTCGTTCGCTTCTTCTGCAACTACATGTCCCAGAGACAGCCTAACAGGCGCAAGATGTGGTTCTTCATCTCTACCCTGAGAATGACGTTTGTCATCTTGCTCTATACTATGATCAGTTGGCTCGTCAACAGGAATGTCACCGACTACAAAAAGGCCAAGTTCAAGATTTCTCGGGACCTGTTCCAAAGGGTATGTCTCAGCTCCCACGTCTTTCACAAATAGTTCCATGCTAATTTTTATAGGGATTCCAACATGCTTGGTGTACCCCCAGATTGAGGGAAGACTCGTGAAGGCCCTTTTGCCCCCCGATCTTCCAGCGACTATCATCGTGCTTATCATCGAGCACATCGCCATTTCCAAGTCGTTTGGCAGAATCAACAACTATGTTATCAATCCATCCCCAGGAGCTCGTCGCTATGGGATTCTTCACATCTTTGGTCCCTTCCTAGGTGACTATCCAGCCACCGGATCCTTCTCTCGAGCAGCTATTAAATCCAAGGCTGGTGTCCGCACTCCTCTTGCTGGTATCTTTACTGCCGTCATTGTCCTTTTAGCCCTCTATGCCCTTACCTCCGTCTTCTTCTACATTCCCCTTGCCAGTTTATCTGGTCTCATCATTCACGCCGTCGGTGACCTGATCACCCCTCCCAATGTCGTCTACCAGTTCTGGGAAGTCTCGCCACTTGAAGTCTTCATCTTCTTTGGAGGTGTGCTGCTCACTATCTTCACCGAAATCGAGAACGGCATATACCTCACCATCGCTGCCTCCGCTGGTCTGCTGATCTATCGCATCGCCAAAGCCAAGGGGACTTTCCTCGGTCAGGTCAAGGTCTATCGAGTCACCAAGGACGACAGCCTAAGAAAGAGCGATAGATTCGGTGAAGACACCAAGTTGACCTCCCGAGATGCTTTCCTTCCCGTCGAGCACCAGGACGGCTCAAACCCACAGATTGAGGCTCAATCTCCCCATCCGGGTGTATTTATCTACCGCTTCAACGAAGGCTTTACATATCCCAATGAAGGCCGCTACCTGCACAACCTGACAGAGTACATCTTCAAGGTTACCAGGCGCACCCAGCTCGATGCCTTTGCCAAGCTCGGAGTATGTACACCTTCCCATTCCCTTTATTAATGATATAACTAACAACTTCAAATAGGACCGACCATGGAACGATCCCGGCCCACGACGTGGCGAGGTCATAAATGTTCAAGACACCCGCCCCATCCTCCGTGCCGTGATTCTAGATTTCTCTTCTGTCAACCACGTCGATGTGTCCTCCATCCAAGGCCTCATAGATGTCCGCAACCAGCTCGACCGCTACGCCGCTCCCGAGATAGTGGAATGGCACTTCGCTTGTATCTCAAACCGCTGGACCAAGCGCGCCCTCGCCTCAGCTGGCTTCGGCTACCCATCTCCCAAGGCCCCTGAGCTCCTCGGAAACTGGCGACCGATTTTCAGTGTTGCTGCCGTGGGAGCTGAGGAGGTTGTAAATGACAAGTCTGGTACATCTCATCGAGCCAACGCGTCGTCAAACCCAACTGCCCCCTCAGATGACTTGGAAATTGGCCAGGCACCGTCCTCCGATGACGGCGAGTATGAGGACGAGAAGACACGTGGCCAGATTACGGTCACCCATGTCAACAACGTCTCTAACTCCTTGCCCCGGCGGGTCGCAAATGTGCACAGCATCAACAGACCTTTCTTCCACATCGACATCCAGGCTGCTGTTGAGAGCACCCTGCTCAACATTGAGACTAAGACTGCCTCCGCTAAGAACTCGACTACTCCCAGCATCACCAAGGGCTTTGTTGAGTGATTTTTCCTCGTATCTTTTTTATCTTTTTTTCCCATTCGCATTTCTTCTGTCATGTACTTGGGCTCTGGGTCTCGGGGGTCTTTAACGAATCTTGTTCCATGTTCAGCACTATATCATGTCGTCTTGTTTTTCGATATACCTATATAAAACTGCTTGCTTCTTCTCGTCATCCAACTAGTTACTGTCTGCAGTATATTTAAACCACTTCGTACGTAGTATACATACATAGACGTCAAAGTCATCAACATTAGCACAAACATCCTTTAAGCATATAATATTTAGGTTAACTTGTAAGCTTAAGCGGCTTGGCGTCGCCTTGGCCGGCTTCTCTTCCGGTCCAGGGCAAGGGTCGGCAATCTTGGTGCCGCTTAGATAGCCGACAACGGAACCGCCAGAGGGCCCGAGTGCCGTTTCTGCCAGCGTGACAACAACTGCTCCCTACGAACCAGCAGACTAACTGCCAGCAGGTCGGGGAGCTGTCTACAGATACAGCTGGAACACACACAGGACTGCTCTTCATGCATTCGGAAGCTGTCAGCCAGGGCCTCAGACTCGCACACAATGAACTTCGCGCATCGGCTCCACGCCAGGTCGATCTCGCGCGGGCTGGGGTTGATAACGCGACAGCACCAACAACAACAAAGAAAGACTCTAGCGCGTTATTGGGCCAGCAGTGCGGCTGGTGGAGGAGCTGGAGCATCGTCGGGAGCATCGTGGAAGACGGGCCATGTCGTTAGTGCCCTGGCTGCTGCCATCGGTGCTGGATTTGCACTCGGTGTTTATAACTCTGGACCTACCTCTCTCGGCCTGCCGGGCCCTAAACACGAGGTTTCACCTGTCTACGGCTCGGTCAGGGACTTTGAACGGGTCAATACTCTTCCATAGACTCTTGATATGCATTTGGTTCATGACAATGGCTGACATTTACTGCTGGATAAGGCGATAGTTGAACTGCGGGAGATCCTAGGCGAGGACGCTATTAGCACCGATGACGAGGACCTGCGGCTACACGGATACTCCGAATGGTCCACGGTCAATTGTGACCAGCTGCCTGTTGCTGTGGCGTATCCCAAGTCAACCGCTGATGTCTCCAAGATAGCTCAAGTATGCTATAAGTTTAGGGTACCTATGGTGCCCTTCTCCGGTGGGTCAAGCTTAGAAGGAAACTTCTCAGCTCCCTTCGGTGGCATGAGCATCGACTTCGCTCATATGGATAAGATAATCAGTCTGCATCCAGATGACCTTGACGTTGTAGTGCAGCCATCGATTCAATGGATGGAACTCAATGAACGGATCAAACATTCAGGTCTGTTCTTCCCCATTGACCCAGGGCCATCGGCTAAGATCGGAGGTATGATCGGTACCAATTGCAGCGGCACCAACGCTGTTCGCTACGGGACCATGAAGGATTGGGTTATAAACTTGACCATCGTGCTAGCCGACGGACGAGTGATCAAAACGCGCAGACGACCTCGAAAAAGCTCGGCAGGGTATAACCTTGCTGGCATCTTCGTGGGATCTGAAGGTACGCTTGGACTTGTCACTGAAGCTACGCTCAAGTTGGCTGTCATACCAGAGGAAACACGAGTGGGAATAGCTACGTTTCCATCTATAAGGGATGCCGCCAACGTTGCTATGGCTGTGATTCGTTCGGGCGTACAGGTCCAGTGCGTCGAGATACTGGATGATGTCCATATGGATATCATTAACAGAGCAGGCGGTACGAACAGGACTTGGAAACCTGCTACGACTCTCTTCTTCAAGTTCTCCGGTACTCATAACGGGGTAGCGGACTCGATCAGTCGGACGAAGTCGATTGCTAAAGAGCATAATAGCACGTCGTTTGAGTTTGCTAAGACAGACCGGGAGGGCCATGAACTGTGGTCTGCTAGAAAGCAAACTCTCTGGAGCATGCTGGCTCTTCGCAAAGAAGGCTCAGACGACGTTTGGTCTACGGATGTTGCTGTCCCGCTATCTAGGCTCCCTGATATCATTGGTACGCTCCCTCCGTCCCGTAAATACCTAATATACCTGCTAACATTTTATAGAACTCTCGAAGAAAGACCTTGACGAACTAGACCTGTTTGCTGGTATTGTCGGACATATCGGAGACGGCAATTTCCATGAAGGCATAATTTACAACAGGAAAAATCCTGAAGAAGTATCGAAGATTGAAAAGTGTGTCCATGACATGGTCGACCGAGCCCTCGATATGGACGGGTCTTGTACTGTAAGTTTAACATCGTGCTCTATATACATGCCCCATCTAACAACAATAACACATAGGGCGAACATGGCATTGGCCTAGGAAAGAAGAAATACCTAATCAAAGAGCTAGGCATGGACACTCTCAATGTCATGCGGAGCATCAAGCAATCTCTTGACCCGTTATGGCTGCTGAACCCAGGCAAGATATTCGATGCGGTGCCTGGTGAGGAAGAAAGGAAATCAAGCAACAAGTGATAATTCTCAATTTCTTCTTAGCTTTCGGTTTTCGGCATTTTGTTTTTTGCCTTTTTTTTTTAACTTGAGTATCGCGATATGATCTGATTTAGGTTATTATGTCCCAGGGAGGCTAATTGATATGGTTATTTGAGCGGTATGTACGATCATGACAGGTCGTCTAATAGCTGCTTGGCTTGGGTCAGGCGGTCTGTATATCGGTATGAATCGCATGATAGTTATGGAAATATTAATGGTTTTGCCTCAACATAGTCATCTACACTAATTCGCCTCCTTAATTCACCTATCGTATCAGAGAGAAGAGGAAAGACAATGTACTCCGTACGCAGAAGTTCAGGAAGCCAAAACGTCCTCAAGAGAGTCAAAAGTGATCGATCAGTAGATGACTAATATGTTACTAAAATAATATATTACCTAATCATCAATAAATACCCAAAGCAGAAGTTAGGGCTAGGGCTCGCGAATCCACAACTTCCCATTTTCACCTTCCATCGACAGTTTTTTTCATCTCTCCAGCGACCAGGCGACACAGACGACTTCTCGACAAGCACAACTCCAACGTCGACAAATACATCAATATGGGCCGTGGACCGTACGTACAACCTATCTACACTGATAATATTTGATGTCAACAGCGAATACTAACAGCACAACAGAAAGAAGCACCAGAAGCGCTTGAGCGCACCATCGCACTGGCTCTTGGACAAATTGTCCGGAGCCTATGCTCCTCGCCCATCCCCCGGTCCTCACAAGCTGAGAGACTGCCTTCCTCTCATTGTCTTCCTCCGTAACCGGTTTGTTGCCCATCTTTTTTTTATCCAACCCCGGAGCTTAGCAAGCGGTCATTTCTAACACCCAGCAGTCTAAAGTACGCCCTCAATGGCCGCGAGACCAACTCTATCTTGATGCAGCGCCTGGTCAAGGTCGACGGCAAGGTCCGCACCGACTCGACCTACCCCGCCGGCTTCATGGACGTGATCAGCATCGAGAAGACTGGCGAGAACTTCCGCCTCATCTACGACACCAAGGGCCGTTTCACCGTGCACCGTATCCAGGCCGAGGAGGCCGAGTACAAACTTGGCAAGGTCAAGCGTGTCCAGCTGGGCAAGGGCGGAATCCCATTCTTGGTTACGCACGATGCTAGAACGTGAGTTTTTGCACTCTTGTTTTATGCGTCATTCAGTCGTTGGACCAAGGTTTGGTTTGATTCCCGTCGTGCGTGGAGCGAACGGAGATGGAAGTTGAAGTTTGCGAGACGGATGACGGGATGCCATCATACCACAATACCATGGCATTCTTGTTGGGTTGAAATAAACAACGGATGTTGCCGTTTCAGTCCAACGAGAGCAACGACGTTCATATACTATGAACATGACGCTGTTTTTTTTTTTTTTGGTTCCTGTTTTAGACTATAAGCTGACATATCTCTAGCATCCGCTACCCAGACCCCAGCATCCGTGTCAACGACACCGTCAAGATTGACATTGCCACCGGCAAGATCACTGACTATGTCAAGTTCGACACTGGTGTGATTGCCATGGCCACTGGTGGTCGTAACATGGGTCGTGTTGGTGTCATCACCCACCGTGAGCGTCACGATGGTGGTTTCGGCATCGTCCACATCAAGGATGCTATTGACAACACCTTCGCTACCCGTGAGAGCAACGTCTTTGTCATCGGCCAGGAGAAGCCCTGGATCAGCTTGCCCAAGGGCAAGGGTGTCAAGGTATGTCTTGTCTCTCGTCCTCCTATCATTATCTTGTACTTGTACTAACTATCTACCTAGCTCACTATTGCTGAGGAGCGTGACCGCCGCCGCGCCATGGCTAACTAGAGTTTTTCTGGTCGCTGTAAAAAAAAGACAAAAGAAATCAAATAATAAAAAAATATTCACAAAATAACCCTTTTTTCATTCTTGGGGCAGAGCAGGCGTTTTATGTTTTGACTCGGCAGTAGTCTGTTCTACTCTTTGAAACGGGTGGTTATCTTATCCTAACGAAGCAATGTCAACTTAATTCACGTTAAATGCCATGCTCCTTGACTTATGAACCTGTATCTCGTCTCGTAGCCTGCCCTGTTGCTGTCTTGTATAATAACCTTAACCTTCGTACTTATCATAAGTTAGTTAAGTTAGGCTTTTGGGCCGCAAACGTAACAAGGTTGGTGCAGCACCTGCGTGGACGAGTCTTGTTCTAGAACCCGCCTCCGTCGCCATCTCCCGTTCACTGAAAGGTCGCTGTCACTGACAGGGTTGGCGGTTAGCAGGGCTCGTCTATTGGCTGGGCGATCATGCAGTCACTGTCACCTCGCATGATGTGATGCAGCATGCAGCAGTCAAGGCCTGATCCATGGCTGCCTTAGCAGAACCACAGCACCGGGTAGGACGTATTCTGCTCACCGAATCCATCGTATATATAAAGGAAGACCGACCGACGTCCTCTTCTTGTCCTCTTTCTTCAGCATCTTCGTCGACTTTTTTTGCGGTCTTCATCGCTAAGTTCTATAAATATCTCTGTGCGTCCGTGTGTCTCCCCCTGGCCCGTGTGTCACCCTTAAGCGAGCGCTAAATTACCTAATCCCGTCGATCTCCCGATCCAAACTCCGGCGTATCTCCATCGCATGTCCTGCTGCTCCGCTTCGTCCCTTTCCTCTCCTTTTCTGCTCACTTGCTCTGCTTCGCTCCCAACCTCCCGCGCAGACTCTTCAGCACCCAACCCCTCCTTCGCCGCCTCCTCTTTCCCCTCTTTCCCCCGCTCGCCAGCCTCCCCAGAGAATCTTCTACAAGCTCGCTGATGTCCGCTTTGGGAAACCAGACAAAGACTTTGTCCCCTTGAAAGGAAGCTAAAAGTGGCGCTAGTAACGACGGTAACGGCGTGACGGAAAAAGTCTGGCTGGCGTAAGTTACGTCGTGTATTGCGCTAGTAACGGCCGCCGTTCCGACCTCCCCGCCCCCGCATGGCTGATGACTAAGGCAACAGGACAAGATTAGTCATCATGACAGGGGTTGACATGGCGACGACATCAAAGGACAACATGACATAGAGCACAGATGGAGGGATAGAGATTGATGGGTGAGAATGAGAGGTAGGCCGATAGAGGTAGTAGACCATGTTATTCGGTAGTTTGCTTGTACTAGGAGTCATGAGGTTGGAGCTCTGATCTAGATAAACAGTGTACATAGAGAGATATAGATCTAGATAGAGACGGGTAGAGATGGGGCAATGAAGAGGAACGAGTCTCTATAGCAACTCGTCTGTTTCCCAGTATACATTGCAGACCAGTTTCTATGGCAACTTGCCCACAGGAGATAGCAACGTAGCTGGGGTAATATAGACATAGATGTCCCTTGAGCTGCTTGAGAGATAGGTGAAGGTGAAGAGTAAATTGAAATCAATCTCTGTAGCTAACTGTCATACATCCTGCTTTTCCATATCCCCATCTTCCTATGTCCCTATATCCCTATATTCCTCCTTAGTGTACAAATTCAACCTTGTCCTCTTACAACGCCACAGTCTACTAGTAGCCGGTATAGACTCCGCTAGTCATGTCTCTGTCGGCCTTGAGGTCTGCCTCACGCTCAGCCAGGGCTTTGGCTCGAGTGGAAAACAAATCAGACATCTCCTTTATCATGAAGTAAGTAAGGCGGTTTCTCGTCATGCTGGTAACTATATCATATTCTCATTAGCCATGCTCTCGTTAATATAGTTCAAGTAGAAGTGAAACTCACAAAAGGACATGGCGTCCTCGGGGAAGCTCCCAGTAGCTCTGATAATCAAGTTTCTCTCTGCAGTGGACATGAAGGGGATCTCGTTGAGGGCCTGGTAAGCCAGGTTGTGGGCGTCGATGCGGACTTGAGCACAGCGAGGATCGGGACGCCAGTGCGACTCAACCATGTTGACTATTTCTCTGTAGGAAAGATGTCAGTATATACATCGCCATAATATAACTCTAGAAACAAATGGAGAAACTGAAATAAACTCACCCGGTGAAGTACTCGCGGAACGCTCTCCAGTACATGCTAGCCGGCCCATGCTCCCTAACGTGCTTGTAAAGGCGGAAGTTTGCTTCGTCCTCGAACAGGCGGGCGTTGGCCTCAAAAATTGCACGATGTGCGTCCTTTGATTGCCCGTTCTCTCTCAGGATCTCTCCATCTAGTTCAGGAATCTCGAGCTTGTTGGAAAACTTCAGTTTTTGGCCGTTGAAGTCAGCTGGGTATAGTTCATATCCGAGGAGAAAGTACACTGAAAACTACAGTATTTTGGGGCGTCTTTCTAATTAGAATCATCTAAAGTACATGCTTGCTCTCCATAACATACAGATCAACGTCTATTCACCACGAACCATCCTGAGCTCCTTGCCTCAGACTTAACTCCATCTCATTTGTGACGTCAATGATGCCAATATGCGTGTCAATCCCTTCCTGTGATCCATTCATTATCGTAAACTGTACCATACCCATCCTTGAAACTCCATATTCCATGCCATAGAAAATCAACAACGCCTCATTCGTGTCATAACGGGAAAGGAATTGGGTAACTCATCACATGTCAACATAGTCATTAATATCAAAGTTGTCAAACTGAGTGCAATATGGGTTGTAAACTCGAGTCCGATTCCCAGGGTTGAATAGATCGTAGTACCCATCATTGTTACCAAATGGGAAGTTGTTCATGGCACGACGCAGATCTCCCTCAAAATCAGCCTGGGAGTAAGTGCCGGAGTTTCTCGCATTGTTGGAAGGAGCCGCAGGAGGCGTGGTGGGATTGTTCACTGGTATGGCTGGAGTAAGATTGCCGTTGGTCGGAGCAACGGACGTGTTTACCTGGAGACCCTTTGAATTACCATTTTCCTTGGAGGAGTTTGTGTCTGACGCTGTAACATGTTCTCCAACTTGAGATGTTGCATTTTTTCCGCTGAAAGAGAATCTCTTGGTGCTGTTTGCTTTAGTGGCCGGGGACTTTGGAGTCGACTGAGCTGAGACCGCCATGGAAACCGCGGCACCTTGGTTTTGAGAGGCACTGTCTAAGTGAATACCTGCGACATAGCCAATTTGATAGCAATAGTGAACAACATCGTCAACAGAAAGGTTTGTCGTCAGGTCCATGGGATTGATGTGTGCATTGGGGTTGGATTTTATGAGCGAAAATTGCTTGTTTTCAGTCGAGACAACTTGCAAACCCATGGTATCAAGGTAGCTTGCAACAGAAACGAGCCCAATGAACGGTCCTATCAGAGCTAGAAATGATTCTAGGGTGACCTGTCCAATGTGCTTGTCACGGATGACGGAGTAGGCTTTGGCCACGATTGCCCACTTCGCTTTGAATGGATCAGAGCTCCACAAGAGACGAAGTAATCCAGACTTGACTTTCTGGGAAAGATCGGGAAACGCAGCAGAGTAGAAGCCTATGCAAGGTTAGTCTTGCTTGGATATTGTGGACTACAGCTCACTTACTTCGGAAAGCAATGAAGGAGTTCAAGGGTCTCAGTTTGGCGTTCTCTCGAGGACGTTTGCGTGAAGCAGGCCGAGTAATAGTTTCGGTTGGCTCAGGAGTTGTCATGGCAGTAGAAGAGGCTTTTGAGGGTGAGACCTCCCTGTCTTGAGTCGAGTCACTTGCAGGAACTCTCGCAGTGGCCACTGTAGAGGCGTTCACTTCCTCCATGAATTTTTGGACCTGCTCAGGAGTCAAGGTCGTCAACAAGTTGCTGAATGCGCGATGTACCGCAGAGACTTCGGTTCCAGACATCTTGAAATGCTGGAGGTACCTTGTCTCGCTGTTTCTGATGGATATCGAGGGTTTTAGATCGAGTAAGAGCAATGAACAGTAAGGAAGAATGAGTTGTAGAATCTGATGTTGTTGAAAGTTGAAATGAAAGTAGAGAAGACCTGGGAGCGAATATGTTTGAGGTGAGGAGTCGTTCTGTTGATGGCTGGGAGGTGAACTTGCAAACAAAGAGAGCATCACCATAATATTCACCTTTTTGGAAATGTGGTTCGCCCTTGTATGTAAAATTTAAGCGCCCACTTTAAATACGCCCTGGTATTAAACGCGTGTACGGTAAAATACCAGCCCACTTTTGAGTTTGAGCGGATTTTATTTACTTGCCAAGAATGATGAGCTTTACGGAGTACCATATGTATATAACTGGGTGTGTGCAAGATGGTAAGATATAAGATTAGGAAAGGTCGTAGGAATCTCTATCGCGAAGCGTTTAAAGCATTCTTCACTGATAAGCTGGAAACCACTGAGTAAATTTTAAACTGTCATTTTTTTTTTTTGGCCGGCATTCAAGTCTTTGTCAATGCTGATGCAGGAAAGCCTGATGGGTATGTGCAATAAGCTACATGGAAACCAAAGTGCCTTGCAACGTCGCGATTCCACCTTCAACAGAAGCAATGTCCTATTCAGCAGCGTCTGGAGCATCCTCCACAGTTGTACGGTACAGCATGACCCTCACACTCTCCTCCCCGTGGGCGTTGATCACATCGTCTCCTTCAAGGCGTGCTATGTCGCAGTTAGCATTTATGTCAGAAGAGGCTCTAGAATCCTCTCACCAATTATATCATTGAAGCTTTCTAATCGATCAATGACACGATTATGTTTGGGGGTTGCCATGCGGCGCTGAAGTAGCGTTAGTATAATCCAGCAGCCGCTAAGTCATGCATGCACCGGCCAACACGCACCTCATAATAGGGATTTGGGGTCAGCGTCATCTGCTCATATGCCAGAAATTAGATTAATAAGTGTAAGAGAAAGGGGTGTAAGATTAACGCACCCATGTACCTCGACGCTTGACTTTACTGTCCGGGTAAAGGGCTGCCTGGAACATAGAGGCGGTTTCCTACATTTTCCTAGGTTAATAAAAATTCGGAAAAACAGCAGCACATACTTACCTCAGGAGTTCTCTGAGCGAAATGCTCGTCGGAGGCAGGCTCCGAGCCATTTGCCTATAAAAGTTAGCAACCAGGGTAGCAAGTACTTGTATTTCCGAAAGGACTTACTACTTCTTCTCTGTAACGTCTGGTTTCGATGTATGTGTTTTTCAACCACATCCTATGGAGAGCCAATCCACCCATTGGCATCATCTGCACATATCCATTTGGAGGATCTTCGGAGAGCGCAACGCCACTGCCTGGGCTGCCTTTCAAGAGGAACTGCTCCCAAGGCTTCAACTCGGGCTTGAACGAAGGGCGGTTAATGCTCTGCAGGATTTGTTCTTCATCTCTAGCAATAAGATTTGCACGTAGACGAATGCTCTCCTCAATGGACTCGCTCTCTTTATCTTCACGTTTCTTGACCACTTTAGCAACACTCTCCTGTAGGATTTTGAAAAAGCGTTCCTGGGCAGTTGGTGTAGGGAAAAGATCCGGATAATTGGTAAGCCTGGTCAGCTCTTGGCGGACGCTTTCAGTCAGGCGTTCTGCCTCCTCTGGAGAGAGATTGACTTCATCTGGACGGTAAGTGTCCAAGAACGTCTTGTAAAGGGAGGCAAGGAAGTCGATGCTACACTTGCGGACGGCAACGCCATCTCCTGCAAAAGGGGTTCTCAGTACATTGATATATCGAGGCTTATTATCATTAGGTTCCTACCGTTGAGCAAACCAGGGTCATACTCGGACCACGGGAGGACGATGCGTGGTTTTGGGGGCGGAGGAGGCGGGATTTCAAGCATGGTAGGACGTTGCAAGTGGTTCTTGATGTTTGGTTGTTGTGAGATATAAGTTGAAACGTAGGGGTTGAAAGTTGGTACGTGAAGGAGTTGTTTGTTTGTAAAAAGTAGAAGTTCGTTGTTATGAAGGGAGCGAAGAAAATTTTTCTGGTTGCTATGCCACCGCGTTTCCCAGAGAGGAAATCAAATCAAAACAAAACAGCCATTAGCGCCAGAAAGACCTATGCGCGGTATTAAGGGGTACGTATTCTGGCAGGTGGGAGTGTGTGGTAGCAATACTCCCATTAGAATCAAGACAGTACCAAGATAACCTCCAGGGGTAAATGCGCACTTGGTATCCGAGGAGGGGTGAATTTTATCAAGTACAGGCAGTGAGTCACTATTAATAGTGGAAATTCACTCTATAAACATGTATGATAATGGTACTGCCATTTATAAGACGTTAACAGAACCTGTACTCCAAGGACTATCAATTGTGTGTTAATTGAGGCCTACAAAACCATGGGTTATGGTAGGTAGAGGTATAACTATCTACTCTCCAGCTTAGCTAGAGACACTTGACTCATGCCCTCAGCCGTCATGATGGCCATCATGACATGTTGACATGTTGATATCAAAAAGGAGGTTGAGATGCTGACTAATACAGCAGAAGCTCTCGGATGCGTTGAGGAGCCAAAAAGAAGGCAAAAAGCGCCAATAGCGTCGGGAATTTGGTAGATGTCCAACTTTGCGTATAGATGTGACTAGACTAACATTCTTTCTCTATAGCTGGTCAGCTTGACCTCCAGTCACTGCACCAGATGAACGTCGGGCAGCGCCATGGAGTTCCTGACTCTTTATCACCACTTGGGCCAAGCGGCCTCGAACATATCCAAAATGATCGTCCACAGTTTATTCCTGGCTTTTTGGTGACAAGAGAAATACAATCCTCATCGTGGCCCTCGCACTTAGGTACTGGCTTTTTTGTGAACATCTTTGACCACGATTCGGTTTGGCTGAATAAGGACGCAACGGAACTGTCGGGAGAGGCACTGGCCGCTCTAGTGGGTAAAGAGCCACCCCGCTCCATTGTGGATGACAGCCCACTGGTAAGTGTAAGCCTTGCTTCAGTTTGAGCCTCCTGCGGTGAGTCACTGGAAGTTGTGGCATTTTCCTCGCTGACGGCACGGCTGGTCCTTTCCGACTTGAAAAAACCAGCAAGAGTTTGTTGGCCGTTGCTTCGAGCACCAGCAGGCCGGCTTTTTGGTTTTAGTCGCTTAGATGGGGGGGTTTGTGCTGCCTTGCTGTGCGATCGCTTGGAAGGGGGATTCATTGTTACGGAGGGACTTTTACTTTCTAGTGCACTTTTTTTTGCCGTAACCGGATCAGGCATTTCTAGTCCAGCCTGGGTATCAGTTGCTATTGACGCCTTTATTTCGCTGTTGGTCCGGGACAAAGAATGGTTTCGGAACATATCCTTAATATTCCTTCGGCGGTCAAACTCTGGTATCAACTTTCCCGATAGCGGTAAGGGGGTTATTTTGTTAGAACGAGGCTGTTCTACTCCATCTTCGAATGCTCCTGTGGGGTTCATGATATCCAGAATGTGAACGTCCCTCCCTTCAAAAGGCACCGTGTCGCTTATAGAAGCATAAACAGGACAATGATCCGAGCCCTGTTGGGTAGAGTTAGCATTTAAAACATCAATAAAAACGTTCAAATTCGACACATACCATAAGACCCTCTTGAATATTAGACTCAACAAACCAAGGCCTGATATCATCGCTACAGAGGATATAATCGATCCTGGAGCCATAGTTACCTGGTCGAGCATTTACTCTTTGCTCCCAGCATGTATACATGCCAGTGCGGTTGGGATGAAACTCCCTACAGAGGTCTCGAAGAACAGGAGAAGCCTCGATATCATGTGTCTCTTCTGTTGAACCCACACGCCGCACCAGTCCATTGAAAAGACGCCTGGCAGGAGAAGACACGTACTCTTCTTCAGTTTCCGTATTTTTCTTAATCCTTTCTGTAGCTGGAGCTGAGTCAATCGCGGCAGGGGATATATTAAGATCACCCGTCAAAATGACTCGTTTCCCCATTTTTATGAGGTTCCTCACTCGGGCTTCGAGTAAACTTAAGAAGCCAAGTCGAAAGCCATCTCGAGATTCATCCCGGTTCGCAGGGCAGTAGACGCCTATTAACACAAAAGCAGGGAATTCCACAATTAAACATCGCCCTTCCGAATCGAGGGTAGTAGGATCTACTTCAGAGAGCTCCTCCATTTGTTCAACAGACGGATACCCACCGATCTGCTCTGAAGCAGTTAACTGACGAAAGGGGGTTGAGGAGTTTGGCGGACAAAGGGTGCCAGTTATGCCTTCCTCGGCACGGATAGCAGCACATTTTGAGCTGCGGGTATAAATCACAACTCCGGAATAACCTTGAAAGTGTCAACACGGACACTGGCGAAAGTTATGCAAAGTGTATATACCTTTCTTTTGCCTTGGGAGGCTGAAATAACAGTCCCACCCTGGTACAAGAACCATGTCATCTTGTAAATCTTTCCGTTGGATCTTTGCTTCCTGGAAAACGACGATGTCTGCCTCCAAGATATCAAACATTGCCTGCGAGCCACGCATTAGACGAACACTCGGCCAAAGTTCTCATGGGCCATAACGTACCCCGAATGTCCGGTTTCCTCTCCATGGCTCGTATGAAAACGGGTTCCTAGGAATAAATTATCAGTACAAACTTGGTCGTCCGTACAGCTGCTGCCTGTCGCCTACGGTACCTTATCCCGTTTACTACAACAGTGTTAGTCTCGTCAACCACTTATATTGCCACCGAACTAACCGTTCCATGTTGTTAATCGCAGCGCCATCTTTCAGCGTATACCAGCATCCTCACATCATTTAGTTGTCCCCGTACGCTTATTTTGTGTCTCCAACCGGCCATTGATGTTTGATGTTTTTCTTTCGAAGTTGCGATGACGATCAGGCCATGTGATTACATAATCATTAGCCACTAATTCTGAACCACAAACGACTTCAACTTCAACTTCACTTCATTCGCTCCGACTTAACCACGATCAATCATTGAGACTCTCCAGAGTACCAATTGAACCAGCCATGCTTTCCCGTCAGCCTATTCTGCGCGCTGCCCAGAGGGCCAGCATCCGATCTCCCGTCGCCCGCAACTTCGTCCAGCGCCGACTGAACAGCTCGGCTCCTCACGACAACGAGTTTCTCCGTGAGAGAGCTGCCGTCAAGGCACACGCCGCCTCCACCAGCGGTAAGCGGATATATGGCAGTGTCAGACCGGATATATAGGGACTAACTGTTTATTTGCAGACCTATGGCGCAAGCTGTCCATCTAGTTAGTTTTTTCTCGATGAACCGAATGCCGGACCTTTCGACAACTAACAGTGTGACAGTGCCGTGATTCCCACTCTAATTCTCGGTTCTATCAACGCATACAACCTCTGGACTGAGCATTGGGAGCACTGGTCCCATATGCCCGCTTTGGAGGACCGTGTCGAGTATCCTTACCAGAACATCCGAAGCAAGAACTACTTCTGGGGAGATGGTGACAAGGTACGTGGAATTGAGTGATATTCCGCAAAAGAAAAAAACTTACAATACTGACAAAAATTCTTAGACTCTCTTGTTAGTATAGGCGATTTCCTCGTCACGTCGATTATAACATCCTATCACTCGAATTTTGTCGGGATTACTAACATTTGTTTCATTTTAGCTGGAACTCCGACGTCAACTACCACAACAAGGACAAGACCACTTAAATTCGCTTTCACCTAGCCAATCCAACCGTTAATGGATGAATTCCACCGAAAGCAATGTTATACCTACGTTTTTGGAGGGACAACCTGCTGCTTTTATACACCTGAGGTATAACATCACCATTTGTAGAATAGGTCGAATTGTTGAACCAGAAATATATATCTTACTCTTAACCTGCCATTGCTTTGATATTATTCGTTATTCCAGCCTGCTGATCAGCAGGTATGGAATCAACCCGAAAGTTCCGTGGCTTATTGTCAACGTGAGCTTTGATAAAACAAAAGTGACTACAAGTTGAAATTCCGTGGCAAAAAGTGATGAAGTCTGTATTCTTTTGTTCGCTTCCGTACATAGACAGTTATTGAAGTAGAAAGAGATCGGATTAACAGAGGTGAGTTTATAAATGCGATTGGAAAGTGCAAGAGTTTTACTCCATGTATGATATCTTGCGCATTTCGCCAAGTTGCTTTCTAGCTTGACTGAGTGCATTTTCGAGCTGCAGGATTTCAACCTATAAATTATGTTAGATACCTGGCGCATCATGTAGCTGGGGGTAGAAATCGATAGACATACCTGTTGTTCCATCTCTCGCACTTTAAACTCATGTCCACTCAGCTTAGTGTAGTCAATGGCTTCGGTCTCATTGCGATTCTTCTCCGCAATGATATCCTGTACCTGTCGGACCAAGCTTCTGCAAGCGGATCCAACAGCCTTGCTGGCTGTCTCTAGTCGATCTTGAGTCTTGCTCATGAACGTAGCCTTGACTCGGCTGGCCGCCACAAGCTGGGCGGTGCTAGCAGCCACATCGTTACTGGCAACAATCAATTGCTCAGGAGAGTTTCTGCCAGAAATAACTCCGTCGGCGGTCTCAATCAATGTGTTGGTTGAAGTTGCCACAGCCTTCGCAGCAGATATCAATCCTTCTGTCCAACGGTTGTTCTTCTTGTAGAATGCCGTTCGTGAGGAGCTGCCTCGGCCTTCCTTGACAATTTCTTGCTGTGATGCAGTGGCAGCTTTGATTAGCTCGGCGATTGCAGTCGTTACCGCAATAGATGCCTCTAGAATCGAATCATGGATGCGGAGCTCGTAAGTCGAGTAGCCGTCACGAGGCTTCTTCTTGAGCTTGGCAAGTCGCTGTGCTGCGGCTTCAATTGCGTTGGCGGCATTGGTCAGTTCTCGGTCGACAATATCGCCTAGGTCGCCAGCACCTGTAAGCTTGTTGCTCTTTGGAGCGAAGGTATCAACAAGCTTGGAGAGTTTCTGGAGGTTCATGAGGACTTCGTGGTTGTTATTAATAACCACATCGGTCTTCTGGGTAGGCTCGAGGCCTTGCAGTCGGAAAGACTGTAGAGCACGGAAGAATGCCATAGTGGACTCGGCAGGAGATCGTGCAGCACCAACAAGCTGGTCGGCTTTCTTGTCATCGGTAGCGAATCGAGTCAAGCCCTTAGTGTTGCTAAGGACATCAGCTATGGAGCCAGAGAACACGCTCACAGTACGGATGATTTCGGCGTGTTCGCTGTTTGGTCCGTCGGCGATGAAGTTGTTGAAAGCAGTCGAAAACTCAGTGGCACTGGCAGATGCCTTTTCAATCTGCGATAACACATAAGAAGGAGATGCATTTTGGTTTCCAGCTTGCATGGTCGAATCTAGTTCGTAGAGTGCATCATCTACTCGCTGCACACCACTTTGAAGAACGGAATCGATGATGTCGTTGACCTTGGATATAGAGCCAATAAGGACGTCATCGATCTGGCTGTCCAGGGCCTTATCCGCATCTCCTTGGCTCTATAATGAGACTCTAATGTTAGCTCTGACATCTTACACCGTGAAAGGGCGTTACATACCAGTCTCAGTTCCTCCAGTTCAGTCAACGCCTGCTCCATTCCAGACTTGTAGATCTCAATTTCCTCGTCCTTTTCTCGGAGCATGATCTCATGGTCTGCGTTCAGGTCGCCTCTGCTAGACTGGAACTCCTCAAGGGCTCGTGTTTTATTCTATACATAGGTATGTTAGTATTGGAATTGGATACGAAATGGGGAAACATACCCTTAGAGACTCCTCAAGGTCAGCCATCTCACGATTATACTTGGAAAGCATGGCGGATATTTCTGATCCTTTTGCGCGTTCAGCATTTTCCGCTCGCTCAATAGCCATACGTAGCTCCCTCTTCAGCTTCTCCAGCTCCTCCCGATTACCACCTGTAAGACGATCCTTTTCATGCAGAGCCCTATCACGCTCCCTGATCATATCGGCAAGTTCCAGATTCTTAGTCTTCATCTCTCGCTCGAGGCGCTCCCGTTTATCAATTGCCTCCTGGGCAGACGCCGCCTTTAGCTTAAGAGACTTGGTAGTTTGGAGGAGATCCAGATGTTCCTGCCGTAGTTGAGAGTACAGCTTGGCCAGTGCTTCATATTTAGTACGCCAAGTATTGAGTTGCTCCTGGAGAGATCGAATAAGATCGTCCTTGGAAGAGTTTTGTGAATTGAAGTTCGAGTTAATCTGGTTCAGTTGCTCTTCGAGGTCCTTCACACGCTTGTCATATTGCTGGAGCATCAACTGGTCTCGCTCATACTGTGCGCGGGCGTTTAGGTTCTCTTGTTCAAGCTCTGCCAACCTTCCTTGGGTTTGCTGCTGGTATTGGTTAGCCATGAGCTGTTCCTGAGCTAACCTCTGTTGTTCTGCTTGGAGTCTCTGCTGTTCTTCAAATTCTCGCTGTGCCTGCTGCTGTGCAAGCATTTGCTGCCGCTGCTGTTCTTCCCATTGACTTTGGAGTCGGCGCTGCTCAGCTTCATACTCTTCCTGTTGGCGTTTAGCCTCTGTCGACCAGAAATCATTGATGGGTTCAGCATCAGGTATTGTGGCCTTTGGTGGTGGAGTTGGCTCCCTTTCTGGTTCGTTGACCGGGCGCTTTGGAAGGCTGGGCTTATCTTCTTCCCCTGCAAGTAAATTTGGTGGCTGCGGCGCGAGTTTTGGGACAGAGATTAAGCTTGTAAGGTATCTTAAATTTGAACATTCGTAGTAAAATCGAACCAGGCGATAATACTGCGCATCATATCGACCCCGAAGAGGCTCCAACGCGTCTTCATCTCCCGTTGCTATAATAAAATATTAGTTTCTTGAAAGGAGTACAAGCCGAGGTTCCAGATGCCCTTACTCGAGTGCATCGCTCGTAGCATGCTGGTGATGAACTTATAGATTCCATAGCTCTCTTGAACAAGAGGCACCAACGCAGATATCCTGCACTCATTATTTGCACTGCCTCGGAAATGTGAAAAGATAAGTTTCTGGAAGGTGTCGATTTGGTCCTGGAGGGTCATGAGGTCGGTAATTGTTTCATATCTATACCATGTTAGCAGCAATCGCGCCGCGTTGGAAGATGGCACTGTACCCCTCATTTGGATCATTGATCGACTTGAGACTGATATATTCCTCATATTCAAAGAGACCTGTATGTTCCGTTTTTAGTACCAGTGGTCTGTAGCCAGATATTCGCAGTATACAGGAAGAATACTTACCATTGAATTCAGGGTGCTGTCGATGGAAAGCCAGCTTAGACTCGAGGAAGAAAACATATTCTCTAATCAACGGACCATAGCCTGTTCTCCGCGTCAGTGTTACCTTCCCGCGCAAAGCTGCATTTCTCCAGCATTATAGAATCCACTCCGTATCTGAATATAGGCTCACCCACCTCGAAGACCTTCACCCGTTACCCCTCTCATCAAACTGTCTAGCCATGTAACATTTTCCTGCGCCTCTCTGACAGTAACAGGATGACCCTCCTGCAGGACTTTATGAATCGTAATAAGGGCTTTAAACGTCTGGACTTCGTCAGCGAGAATAGGTTGTCTAGCAATAGTCGCCCAAGTCAGTAAAATGCGCATTCAACATTTAAGGGGTAAGTGAAGTAGATGTGAGATGATAGTGAGGCCGCAGTCCTAGTCAGCAAAACTCACACTTTCATGCCAGACCAGAAGGATACTGAGGACTTGTGGTCCCAAGTATAGACGATGCAGCTCCGGACATGTTTTCCTATTCAAGTACTGTTAAATCGTATGTTTCCGGTATGTGCATGACGTTGAACTGTCAGGTAGTAAGTAGGGGCCGTACGTTTTGGAGCCGTTTCCTCTGTTCACAGATCGCATATCGCATTAGTAACCGTCTAGTATGTAACGTGGATAGATGTAAGGTGTAAGTGAAAGGTTGGCTGGCTGGCCGTTGGTAGTCGTACCGATGCTAGTAGCTTTGCGGATGTTGACCGTAAGGTCTGCTTCGGTTCTATAGTGATATGTGAGCCACCTCTGAATCGATAGTCATATTCAGGCGAATCCTATCTCGTGCTATCCGGCGCTGCTCACCTGCTCATTGCTGCGGTTCTTGTAGATGGGCCGTAGCCAAGGGACATTTATGGTAGTAATCGGGCCACCGTGGGGGGTCAGCAACGGGCGCAAAGCTCGTTGAACTGAGAGAAAGCTGATACCCGGCAGCAGCCAAACTCTGCGGAAGAGAGTATATTGAGCGTATCTGTCCAATGGGCTGGCTGTTGTTGCTTATTGTCTAGTTAACTGTGTTTGGTGATGTTCGATGGCTTTTGGCTTTTGGAGGAGGCAGCGATGTTTCCGCAGCCGTTCGTCGTCACCGTCTTGGCACGCGACCCCTAGTGCTTTTGACAGCCGACACTATACAGAGTGGCTGGTTAGATATTGATAGTGACTACGGAATACGATTAAAGAGGATAGATAGATAGAGATAGAGACAAGTGGGTAGAATATAGATAGGATAGTCTATTTAAATAGATCCCTTTTAACGCCAACCCAAACACCAGGAGATAATATATACATTGCAGCAGCTTTAAGAGCAGATGGGCGGTTATGGCCAGCCTCCTAAGAATTGATAGAAAATAAATGGTACGAAGTAGTTCGGATGCATAGCAATAGGCGACATGGCTCTTAGCTAGTCGAACTTTAGTTCATCAAGCTGTTTTGACTGTCGATGTACAGATAGTTCTGACGGCGACGATATAGCTTCAGTCGCGGGCATAGAGGATTCCTGGAAGTCCATGAGAACCTCGTTTGACCATGCATCAGGCACGTCGTCACTCTCGTCTATTTCGTCTCCAACTTCATGGTCCTCCTTGGATGGGCTGCTGGGTTCCGATCCAACTGGCGCCTTGATAACGAGCAGCTCCTGGCTCTTGGTGTCATTTTCCATCGCTGAATCAAGTCTCTTCGGTGCATTTGCCTTGGAGTCAGACCTCATGGGCTCGACCGCCGACTGAGACCGGTCTGGCACAGCAGATGGGGTAACAGGCTTCCGCTTGGGCATTGCTATGGATCCAAAGTTAAATCTTCCAGGGGACGGGAGTGGCGTTCCTGGAGGCGGTAGAGGCCGACCACGGCCGACTGGATGGTCAGGGACTTCACCGGGCCGCGGGCCCTGGTCGTTGCGGGCGAGCACACTGAGACCCCATTTTTTGGCAGCTGCAGCAGCACTTCCAATAGTGAGCATTGCCTGACGTGGCTCGAATGGGCCAGGGCCCAGGTTGGGAGATGCATTTGCACTCTTGGATGAGTGGATACTCTCCGCAATCATAGATTTGCTTCGACTACTTCTGTTGTCGTTTGTGGGAGATGTATCAGTGCCGTGGTCAGAAATCGATCTGGATAAGGGAGGCGCTGTGGTGCTGGTATCAATTGTAGGAGTGGGCATATCCTTGGGTACGGTTTGTTGAGGTACGGAGATGGATGGTGAAAATATTGAAGAGCCCGATGTTGCTGGAGAGAAGGAAAGAGAGCGGGTAGATCGATGTTTGACAGCACTGTGGGCTACTTTTTCAGGAATATCTGGAAGCGACGATGGGCGGAAATCCGTCTCCTGTGTTTCCAGCTTCTCGGGCGCTTCTTTCTCGTTCAACGAGTTTGCAAAGGCCTGGTACAGCGTTTCCTGAGATGCACTAGGAGTGACAATAGTAGGAGTTTCGTGCTCCTCCGTATTCTGCTCCTTGTGTAATTCAGGGGTGCCAGTGTCTACTGGCTCATCTTTCTCAGAGACCTTATCGGACTGTTTATCCGACTCTTTGTCAGAAGGGGCTTCTGTATCGACTGTTGCCCGTGGTGATTCGGCTTTCCGAGTCTCTTCCCAGATACCACCACGGAAATACTGCTCTTCCGTATCCATGAAGGGGATATCATCCCAGAACGGCTGGACCAGAGTTTCGGCAACCACTTCTCTAATCCTGCTTTCAATTGCTCGCAGGATAATGCCATATGTGATCTGCCTTGAACTGACAATTGGTTCTATCGCCATTTCCATGGCGGGCATCGTATCAAATGAGATCCATAGCCGATTGCTAGGAGGCGGTTTAAAGCGTAGTAGGATGTGGCCCTTGAGCTTCTTCAGCATCACCGAGAGAACAAGGTCAACCTCACGCGGCTTAAATCTCGTTCCAAGGTCAATTCGAGCCGTGGCTGCAATTTCTACACGGAAATTCCCGCTATAGTTGATATCTGCCTCAACGCAACAGTCACCGTTGACTGTCAGATCTTTCAAGCGTGGGTTCGTGATGAGCGGTGCTCCTTCACCGGAGTGAATGGTCTGAAGCTCAAGTTTTGTGATAAAGTTGGGTTTATTCACCCTTGAGATCTTCTTGGTTATCTTGCTTCGAATAAACTGCTCAAGCTCTGGAGTCTTGTACATGGCAAGGAATAGTCTGCCGACCAAGGCATTGAACCACCGAGTCTGAAGATGTTCCTCTGACGAATGCAGACGCTGGACAAGAGTCACCATATCTTGCGTAGCAAATTGTCGAGGTGTAGGAGGGGAGTCAATCGAGTCAGGAACCCTGTCCAGGTTGTTCAAGATGGCAAAATAGAAGTCTTCCTTTTCAGACAGATTCTCGGAAAATAAGTAGAATGGCAACGTAGGTGGTCGAGGACCGGGAGTGTTTTCATCCTCCTCCTTTCTCGACAGGCAGATGGCATTCCTCTTTATCCAAAGTTCTCCTTCGGGTATCGGTTCGCCACCGCCGTAAATGCTGACATTGTGGTGTGCAAGAGATATCACGTATCGAACCTCGATCTGCTCGGCGTCATCATACAGCATGAGATGCCCATGCCTAGGAAAAGTAAAATAATTAGCATGGTCATTCAACACAAATCAACGGGTTAGAGGAGTATCAATCCTACCGCAAGATAACATAAAAGACATTCCTGGCCTTCCTGACGTTCCTCCCATTGGTCCTGCTCGCATCCAAGGTCGGCGCCTGTCTGCGGTCGAAGATACTCCGATAAACGCTCTGGTAGACACTGGGACTCTCAGTAGCGATAACCTCTCCAGCCGGAGTCGTTCGTTCAGGTGGCTTCCCGTTCACTCCTCCGGGCACGTATTCTCTGCACACGGCGAAGTAGCCAGCTGCTACGTCCGCCTCTCGAGCTCGCTGGAACTTCTCCGCCAGCTCCGCCGTGCGAGTGTTAAGGCTGTACTCGTCATCTCCCTTTCTCTCGAGACCACCCGGGTCAGCTTTCTTTGCTTTCGACTCGCCGTCTGACGAGCCGGGGAGAGTGAGGTATGCGTGGAGGACGAGCAAGCTGAGCAGCAGCGGAATGAAGGTAAGCCCACCAAGAACGTAGACGAGGAGGAATGCGCTGAAAGGCCCCATGAGGTTCTTTTAGCGAGCGCTGGGATGAGTCCTCGCCATCAGAGGAAACAGACAGCAAGCAAACGGAGGCTCTTCTATCATCGGAATGCTGATGGTGGCGAGGTTGAATGTTGTGTTGACGGTGTTGTTGTTCTTGGTGATAGCAACAAGATAATCGGCAAGATCTCGAATATACGTGGTCAACACGGCAAGTACCGGTACTTTCATCATCACCTTATAGTCATATAAATATAAGTACAGATACATTCTTAACTCGGTTAGCATATTACGTCGTTCAGTGAGCAAAAGTGACTTGAGAATACTTCATTTACACCAAATAGCAGTGATATACAAAGTATTATTTTGTACCGAATTTCTCATAGTCAAAAACATACAAACAACCCATTACGTTGTAAGATCAGTTCAGCATATACTGAGAACTTATGAAAGAAACGAGATACCCTAAGGGAAAGACCTGAAGAGATCAGCTACCTTGTCAATGGGAGCAGCCAGCAGTCCCACGGCCGTCTCAAAAGGCGGCTTGTTTGGTGCACTGGGATGAGATCGCGTAGGGACAAACATCTTCGTCCGCTCAAAGGAAGCCGCCATCTTGTCACTCTCCTCTGGATCCAATAGCTGTTCGATCTTGACCAGGTCAATGGTTTCTTCCTCTTTGATGTGGTCTGACAGGTTCCCCATGAGCCCCTTGATCATGTCCGTGAAGTTGGGATCCGACGCATCCGTGGCCTGAAACGCCTTCAACTGCTCCTTGACCTGGTCATCCCGTTAGCATTGTCACTGGAACAAGTGGGTATACGTACAAGCTGGTGCTCCTGTCTATCTTTCTCCGTCAGTCTTGAGCCCTCCTCGCCCATTATACGCTCCATGGCGGGATACAGGACCAGCTCTTCACCAACTGAGTGCCGGGCAAGCTCCCAGACAAAGGCATTCTGGTACTTGGTCTTCTCCTGCGGGTCGGTAGAGTTGATGATGATCTGGTAGTAGTTCTCCAGCTCACGGTGGTCTGTCTTGATAGCGTCTGAGATCTTGTTCTGCATGATGGATGTAGTAGAGAAGTAAGCCAGTGCTGGACGGCGAGATAGCGGGATGGCTCTAGGCGCTGCAGTCCTCAGAGACGGTATAACTGTCCTTGAAACTCGTAGACAATTCATTGATAGGGTATAGATGTGAGTAGTGAAGGAATTGAGCCATCCTGCTATGATATACAATCAGTAGCTTGTATATATATAGATGGCTTAGGGGGCACGTCAAGGAGAAACAAGGTATAAACGTCATAAGCCGTCATCGCCTATCAGAGAGCAGGTGAACAATACAACGTCACAGAATCAGCCGCCACTTGAGGTGAAGCATAGCTCTAGAGATCGCCATTGGGTTGTATTAGGTCGCGGAAGAGTAGATGTCTGGTGTAGATGCATTCATAGTATACGACATAGTTACTTAAGGCTGTTTAGGGCCCGTATCTGATATCACGCCGAGCAGACAAACCGAACTCCTTCCACGTCCATCCTTACCCATCCGGGGTATACCAAATATGTACAGAAGAAGATTAAATATCGAGTATGATGATAATGATAACGATACTTTCCGGTCCAACAAAAGAGATGAAAAAGAGAGAGTGCGTGAGTGAAAGTGAGTGTGTGTTGAAGCCAAGAGAGAGTGGAAGAAAAGAAACCAGACAGCCAACCGACGCCCTCAAATCATATCGTTTCAGTGCCCTCAATAATCCGCAGGAATAGAATACCGAATGTTGGATCAAGACCGACGAGGCTTCCCCGTAGGCTGGTCGGCGGGCAGCTCGATGGGCTCGGTCTGCTGCACTCTCACGATCGGTAACTCCGACGGCGGAGCTTCATATCGGGGGCTCTCAACTGATTCAAGCTCCGGCGTCCCTCCGTCGCCCATCAGCTCATATGCTCGCTCCTCTGCCTTCTCCCGTCGCTGCTCCTCACCGGGTAGCGGCGCCTTGTCCTCGTCTTCCCAAGCTTCCGTCGGGGCATCGGTATTAGCTGTGCCAGGGCCGGCACTAGTAACACCAGCGGAGTCAGAAGCAGCTCTGGTTCTTCTCTTCTTTCGTCTCTGGCTGCGAAGGAAGAGCAAGGCTCCTGCAATAATGGCGAGTAGCACTGCAACGCCCACGCCTACGCCTATACCGGCTTTTTGTACCGTCGACAAGCCAGGCGAGCGGGCAGGTGTCGAGGTCGTGATGGCGGATCCCATGCCTCGTAGATCCGCGATAGACACCCCGATAGGTTTAGGGCTTAATGTCGAGTTGTCGGTCTCGTTTGCGCGGCCGATCAGGAGACCGTTCTCGTCTAAGAAGAAACCGGCCCTATCGATGCAGCAGGTTCTGTTGTCGTCGCAGCAATAGCTGCCGCTAGAAGGTCCAGACTGTTCACATATCACCGCCCGAGGCAGGACGTGTGAATCTTGTTTGTCTAATGTTGACAATTATTGTTAGGGTCTAAAATTTTCGAACATGAGGGACAAAAAGAAAGGGCTCAGGAGGGAGTGAGCCAATGGAGACTTACCGTACAAGCATACCTGGGCACAGCTGTTTGTCCACGGCTTGTACGCGCAGGGGGGCCTAATAAGCGTCTTGGGGTCGTCCTTTGAGGTGCAGAGGCGATCTGGACGGCACTGCTCGATTGTCTCGCAGCAGGAATCCGAGTTGGGGCACTTGACATGGTTCGGATACTCCCTCTTGCTGTCGTAGCTGAAGCAGGTTATCCTCTCGTGCTTCTCCCTGTCTTCGGCTGCGCCATCGACGCCGTTGGTGCTCGAAAGGGGCAGTTCCATTCTCTGGGGCCAAACGAAGGAATGAGGGAGGTGATGTCCCGTCTAAAAAAGAACCACCCCTTTCCCAGCCTTACAAAAGAGCGAACGAACACTGAGAAAGAGAATGGAACTGCGGAGGACAGAGAATTAATTTCTCTGAATATAATCCCCCCGTCCATTTCCAACTCTTTCTTCTTTTGACCGTTTTCCCCGGGGTTGGTGGCCAATAATTACTATCCAAGCCACCTTGGGGATCACTGACTAATCGATCCTCCGCACTATTAGAGTCAAGGAATCTTCCATCTTGCTGGCAATAGATCCATTGATTAACCTGATCTGTCGATATATGAGTATCTGTGCATCACAGTGCAGAGTTTATGTGTGTAGATGTTGATGTCGATGCGGATGTCTGGAGTTGATATCTGGAGCAGCCGACTGGCCCATACGATCTCGATGGAGTACGAGCTTGGGGTGAGCCAACCCTATCCAGTTTTCCTCCTTCGTCTCCCCCCGTCTCCGTCTCAGGCACCACCAACGGGTGGAACCAGCGCCGTTTAGCGAGATCCAGACTGCAGCCCAGCGTCTGAGTGGCTCTGCTGTGCCCTCAAACCTGGCTTGACCGCTCCGGGCTCAGTCTTAACCCTGCAACTTATCACTTATGTAACTCGCGCATTATTTTACCTTCGTCCGAAGAGCTGAAAAGTTGTTTGGTGAGCCCACGCTCAACCATGGGAACATCCGCAGGGTGCCGCCACTTCACTAACACCCGTATGCAAGGCTGGCCTGTAACTCCGTGCTGGGCAAACAAGCAGTGGGCAAACATCCATGGGCCGGTCAACATCACTCCGTGCTATGTATAGGCTGACCATCATGGGTACATCGAATGTGACCTCCCTTTCGCTCGCTGTCCGTCTCGCTGTCGTTGTCTCTCGTTTGCCCCTGGACAAACCAACCGGGTCGCTGCTCGAGAGATAGCCGGTCGAAAGCTTGGGTCGCTCCTGTCGAGTAACCCCCACTCCTCACGTAGTCCTGTAGTCTTGCTCTGATCCTCGCCTCTATCGTCGCTGTCCTCCTCCTCGTCGTCTTTTCTTTCTTCGTCTTCCTGTGTCGTTGCTTTTTTGATATCGTGCTGTTTCTGCTGAGTCAGCACCGCTGACCAATCACGGGGCTTCCCTCCGCCTCCGAACTTCTTTTTCGACCTTAAAACAACAAGAGGACGAGGACGAGAAGAAGCAAAAGACAGACAAAAGACAGACAAAACGGCCGGAGAAGAGACGGGAAGAGACGAAGAAGTGAAAGGGACAGTGTGACAGTCGGGTTTTGCTGTGGCAAGGCGCCTCTACTCCGTACTGCAACAAACATCCGATTCTCACGGCTGGATCAAGATACCAACCCGTGTATATATAACTCAATTCCCCTATAGCCATAACTGCATGCACCCTCGGCCTACCTCTTCACGGCCGAACTCACTGCCAGAGACACTCCCGAGCACGACGAGACCGATATCACGATCAGACTACTGCTGCTGAGACGAGGAGTCATGACTTCGTAGTCCGTTCACCGCAGCTGGCATGTAGGAGCAGCTACCCCGAAAAAAAATAACAATGCTCGGATGATCACCTCCCATCCTCCTCAGATGAGCAATCCGTACTCTCAGCCGTCGACAGGCTTCTCCGACCTGCCGGCGGCTCGTATGGCATTCCAACAACAAGCTCGATTAGGGCCGGGGAACGATTTGGGGAGAGGACTCGGGCCAGGACGAACAGGACGGCTGGGAGGGCCAGGCACAAATGCGAGCCCGGTCATTGATCTAACGGGGAGCAACGACGAGGATGACGAGGACCTGGAGTCCAGTCGGCCTGCGAAGAGGTTGCGCATCGATACTCAAGGCCACGACGAGATTGCGAGGATTCTTCATTCTGGCGCACGCCTGGTTCATGTGCTTAGCGACGATACGGACGATGGACAGTACGAAGCTGTCGACGAGAACGAACCTTTTGTTGAGAGCGTGAAGCCTCCAGCGTCATTTCAGGACCGGCTAGCGTACATGTCGATGGATGGAGGCGGACAGCAGTCGCAATCTTCGCCTGCTCCTTTACCTATGCCTCCTCGGCCGCGAAGAAGTATATTCATGCGAGACAGACCTGAGAACGCCGTTGAAGACGCTGAGCCAGATGATATGGTGGTCAAAACTACACCATATACGATGGAGAAGCCTGCTGCTGCCGCCAGGCTTGCTGATAACAGTACGTCAACACCTATCACTCATTACTCCGTGTTTTTTTACATTGGCTTGCTAACAGTTATCAGCTATCCTTGACTTCCACCCGTGGACTGGAAACAACCCAGAAGACTCTCTTAACGAACACACTGCCAAACAAGGCTTCTATGACCGTATCCAGCTCTCCCAGAACGAAAGTAACACCGCACGGCCATCTCTATACTCCCATTTTAAAAACCCTAACGGTCTCAAGAACCTTTCCCATATATTTGCCCAAGCCCTCAAACGAAGACAAGCCATGACGAAAGTTACCCCAAACTCGACATTTAAACCCCCACCGCGTGTCACCCTCACTGACAACAAACGCGAAGCTTGGCTACGGGATCTAGCTAACCCGTCTGTACCCCTCAGACGGCTCAGCAGAACCATACCTCACGGTATTCGTGGCAAGATACTGCTGGACCAGTGTCTGGGGAAGAACATACCCATTGGGCGCGCAATCTGGCTCGCGAAGTGTGTGGGTGCGAATGAGATACGGGCGTTTAAACGGAAAGGCACGGCAGCTGCCATTGCAAGCGGGCTTGAAACGAAATGGGTGAAGGATTGGACTGGGAGCGTGCAGCAGTTTATTGAAGGAGTGTTGCAATCGCATGAAGAAGCCGGGTGGATTGAGAACCAGGCTTATGCGTATGTTGCTTTCTTTTCTTTTTTTGTTTTTCCCTGCATCTACCATATCCCGTTTTGATACCCGTTGCTGACGTATCATAGCATGAGGTTATCTGGCCGTCTATTCCTGGAACAGCTACTGGACCAGGATGCCTACCTCGAATGGTTTCTCAGCTCCCTGCATGCGTCTAACTTGAAGACGCTACCTACCTGGTTAACAACTATTAGTGTCTACTGGAAAAATCTCACCATCTACCGAAAGAGAAGCAGACGTCTGGCGCAGACTCTCCTTGATAAGCTAGCGTTGGTATGCAGCTCCCGTTTTTGGTTATTGCGTGTTGGTGAATATTTTACTAACGATACCTCCAGGCCCTCGATATCAACCGCTCTACAGACCTTAGCTCCCTAATCAACCAGCTTCAATCAATCATACGCTCATTCATCACCTCTTACCCATCATCCTTTCTTCTCCCCTTGACCTGGTCTCGACACCAGAAACCCCTGACTGCATGCTTCAACACCTCTGTTCCCCTTGAGACCGCCATCCTCGCTCAACTCATTGTACGAAACACTCGCCTATCCAAAACCTCTCCTCAGTCTGTTACAAATTCTCCCGAATTGACTTCACGACCCGCTGCGCAACAGCTAATATCGCTGCTTGATGGCCCATGCGCGCCTAATGCTTTCCCACTTCTTGCTGCAAAATGTCTTGCCCTCCCGCTAGATCACCCAACACTAGTGCATACCCTCCTGGAATGGTCCTCTACCCCCTTCAGATACGGATGTGCTCGCATCTATGTCGGTGTTCGACTACTACGACGTTGGAGGAAGCTCTCCATCGATACCGATGCGCATATACTCTATTTCTTGGCTGCAAATAGTAAACATAGCGCCCGCCAGCTTGACAACGTTTACCATCTTGTCGCGGAATTGGTTCGGTCCCAGTCCTTTTCCGTTGGCAAATACTTGGAATGGCTTGTGGCGAGGGGCGCGGTAAGAAGTCCCGATAAGCCTGGTCAGTATCTGACAGCTGACGTAGAACTACTACGGCATCTTCCGCCAAGTAGGCTTCCAGAACATATCTGGAATCTACGCAACACTCTGCTCTCTAGAGCAGGCGTTTCAGTTGATGATGAGGCGAGACAAGTACGCCATATCAAGACTGGTCTATTGCAGATGCACTCTGATATTTTCACCGGACATGTTGATGCTTCTGACACTGAGATGGCGGACGCTGACGTTGACTGTACTTGTCTAACATGGACAGTCAAGTCAGAGGTTTCGCATTGGATACGCGAGCAGGTTGCTTTGAAACTTCTTGCTCAGGTTCAAGTTAAGAACCAACCTTCCGGCGGTGGAACTACTCAAACAACCGCTGCTATGCTAAGGCCGGACCAGTTCTACTCTCTCCGAAGCATCTTGGAGCGCCTGGGTGATATCTCGATTCTCGCTGATGTCCTCAAACTTCTCTCCCCGTCCGCCGATCCTACCATTTTAGCCTCTTTGACAGATACCTTGAACTACCATTTACCGGCTTTCACTGCCATCGGCGCAACCATGGATCTCTTCCAAAGCCTTGCTATCTCCTACACAAAGCTCAGCAAGACAGAACCACATGTCCAATACTTTATAGGCTCTATGCTTGACATGGCTCTTGCCATCCCGTCAGAAGCCACCACTGTCGCCGTTCTGCGCCGCGACCTAATACGCTATGACAAAAAGTCGGCTATGGCTGCCTCATCGCCGGTATCAGAACATATGGCTGACACGCTCAACCCTGTCAATCCTACCTTTGGTGGGATGCTTGACCAGCTTCTCGCTTCAGGAAACTGCATGGATGATGCTACTCTCCTGCGTATATTCGAATTGCTCATCCAAAAGCTTGAGACAGGCAAAGCGGATATCAGCATCACATCAAGTGAAGCAGCGCGATATCTTGCACAACTTCGTCTGTTCAATCCAAAGACTTTTGATGGACTTATGATCAAGCGTGTAGTTGGGATGATACGTACTTCTCCAAGACCAAGGCTGTCTGAGTTTCTACCACCGCTCGTCGGAGTAGGCTGTGTCACGCTTCTAGCGTTTTTCGGTATGGTGAAGGGGCTTTTGGAGGCTGATAAGATGGGAGAGAATAACATACCAGATGTTATGCAGCTCAGATTAGACATGTTGGGTGTTCTAGGGCTAGAGAATGCTGGGCCAAGTAAACTACCAGACTTTGTAAGTGAACTTGCTTTTCGAATCATTCTAATATCGAATACTGACTCGTCTCTAGGTGCTTTACCGCTTCAAGATCGCACGTAGGGACTTCGTTCTAAAGCACTGCGGTCTCATTATCGGCACTATACGTGATGCTATAATAGATGCAACTGATTCCCACGACGTCTCTCTGCAAGAACAGTGGGACACGGCCATTTTCCCGCTTCTTTGCGAGATAATGGTTCGGCATCCCAATATCGGAAAGGCTGAGTCCGCCAAGTGGATGACGGATAAGTTCCCAACTGGCTTACGCCTCCTTACCCAGACACTGGACAGTCTTCTTAACCTGGAATCTGGCAACGGTAATTTTGATATTCTGCAATTGCTTAAAGGCGATTATGGCAGAGATGCTAATTTGCGTGCAGATCCTAATCATACTTCATCCAATTCCCAGCCGATTCAGAAGCAAGCGTTGGATATCGTCTGTCGCATTGACGATTTCTCCTTGCCATTCTGCCTTACTAAGCTACAACTCCTACTTGAGGGAACGGACATGGCAGGGAAGGAGAATATTCTTGATCCTGTCTTCGCTGCAGCTGAAGCGGATGTGAAGAAGGGGGTTATTCCGATGGGTGGAAGTTATCACTGTTCTGGATGATGATGGAAGACGACAGGTAAGCCAAGATAACAAGAAAATAGCGAAAAAGGGCCCTGGACTAATAATCCGAAAGATCAAGCAAAAGGCAGAGATCAAGCTTCTTTCGCTGTTCATTACATCTGCCTCCTCGTCCTCGACCGGAAATAGTGCTGATTCAGATGATGGACCAGCACCTCATGAGCTTGCATTGATATATCTACGCATAATCGAGGAGCTGATATGCAAATCGCCCAATGAAAGTATATCTCCCTCTATTGGCAGCGCCCTGTTGGAAAGAATGAATCTCTTGCTCCAGCGGGTAGCGTTTCTGTCTAAGATCAAGCCTACAGAAACAAATTCCATCATTATTGCTCAGCGTAATGAAGGCGGCATGCTTGGTGTATGGGTCTACATTCTCCTACGCCTTGTGGCCTTGTACCGCTCGTCTTTCAATGTTGAGCGTGCCTCGAAGTTAGATCTCACGGACCAAACCCGCCTCCTGCTAAGCATTTGTTACATGGCATTTACTCCAGCGTTAGTCCAAGTGCTATCTCGTACCACCAATCTTCCTACCGTCCCCACCAGCAAATATAGCCACCTACAAAAGACGGTACCAGCAAATTGGAGTAGCCTGCGAACATATGCTATCGACGTTGCCACTATCCTGGTCGATACCCTCCCAGACGAAGCCCGTATACAGTGTGCTCGTTTCCTCCGTGATCGGTCCCCTCTCTTCCACCAACAGCAACAAGATACCCGCCTTTTATATCTTTTTGGCCCTATGCCTGACCCCCAGGCCGCTCCCACCAACCCTTCTACCGGCAACCCAATGCCCGGTCCGCCAGTTCCAGGCTCATCCCCTTTAAGTGTTCAAAGCCATGCAGCACAAGGCTCGTCCGTTCAGACTCCCCACCAAGCCAACCAACCAATACCTACCGTTGAAGAGACAACCTCGCCTGTTCAAAATTTTCGATTCCAGCAGGGCAACCGAATCCTTGGTCCCTGTCCTCCCAGGAGCTGGGAAATGATTGAAGAATCTGCCCCTGTTGTCGGCGTGAATGACACAGCAATTAACCTCTCATACTTCGGCGCCCGCGCAATCAGAGCAGGCCTAAAATGAAAGGCCGATATCACCTCACAATTAATAGCCAGCCTATTCAACCACGTAAAATCCGTCAAGCGGTCTTCATTTCAAGCGATATAATACCCACCAGCTTGATTTGGATATGTTTTTTTGTCAACACTTCAACGTCTTTTCATACCATGAGATATGCGAGCATTTATTTGGATATCAATTTGCTTCCCCTATCAGCGACTGCACCATATTACTTACCCTCTAGGCTATTTTTAACACCTACCACTTACCTCTTCACTTCTTATACCTTTTTTTAACGAATAATAACGAGTATATCTTATTGCCTTTGGTTTGGAGCTCGCACAGCGGTGAACGGATGGATGGACATCGGATATTTGTTTATTGTTTTTCCATATTTTATATTTTTCCCTATTTATATCATGGACCGCATTTATTATCGGAAGTCGGAAATTGAATTATCTCTGCCCGTTTAGTTGTTTATCATTGTTGGTCGTTTTGATATCTCCCCTTTCTCAGGTTCCTGCATTCATCAGCTTGTCTTAGCAACTTCATTATGTTTCGGATACCTATTGTATATACTGATCAACTCCGGCCATCAAGTCTATACAAACATATTTAACAAGCTGCTCTCCTATGACTACTATCTTTCAACGATTAACACTCCCACCCTAAAAGTCGCCTCATCTGCCCAGATTAGGGTAAGATCTTATCTGATGAGATAATCTTCGTCACGTGATATAAATTCGGGGCAGCTCAAGAGCTCCAGGAAAGGAAGAAGAAACACGGAACAACCCAAGCTAAATGACAAAACAGAGGGCAAGAGAGGGGTTATTTGCTCGTCCTAGCAATGAGAGATACTATTTGAGAAGCGCGCTAGTATATATTTGCCAGCTGCTGCTGAGATACCGGCGCAATGTTAGCCACCGCAGTGCGCATGTCCAAGGGAGGACCAGGCTTCTTCCGCAAGACGGCAGATGAGCTGAGCCGAGCGACACGAATAGGTATATAACTGCTATGGCTTCTTTCTTAACGCGTGCTCTATTTATACCGGAGTGCCTCTTGGTAGTTGATGGTGAACGATGCTGATTATTTTGTCTTGTGTGTAGCGTGGAAGCTCGAAGGCCTGGACATCGCCAAAGACCAATACCATCTGCTTGATTTCACAAAGGAGGAGACCGTGCAAGGATGCAAAACCATGGCAGATCGTGCGGTTGGAGGATACAGTACGGCTAGTCTGGATTATGTTCCTGCAGACCCGGAGACGAAGATGCCAGCACACGCTCGATTCCACGGCTCGATATCGACGAAGCTGCCGAAGGATTGGAGGATACAGAGAACCGGTACGTACGTTGTTTATGACGTTGTTAGACGAGTGGTATATGCTTATGTGTTTGTTTTCTACTTTATCAGGGTATGCGGCGTTTAGAAACCAGGACCGCGGGTTCTGGCTGATGGGCAGGCTGTACTGGGACGTCGACCCGTACACGTACCTGGCTCTGCGAGTGAAGTCGGACGGAAGACGGTATACGGTCAACGTACAGACGGATTCGATCATCGAGTCAGATATCCATCAGCACCGGCTGTTTACTCGGCACCACCGACTCCTGAACCGCCCCGAAAACCACCTTACATCCTCCACCATTACGCCAGAAGAGAGTCTCTCCGAGCCAGAATCCGAATCCGACTTCCCGTCTACGTCTACATCCTCACCGTCTCGAATACCAGCGGCTTTAGCCGACTTTGCTCCTCCCGCAGAAGAATCCAACATCACATCATCATCATTATCATATATAACCGACCCCCAACCGGGCTCATCGGGCTGGGAGACGATACTGATCCGGTGGTCAGACTTTGTCCGAACGAACCTGGGCACAGTCGTCGAGCCGCAGACAGGCCTACTTCAACAGCGGGTGAAGTCAATTGGCATCGGGCTGACGGATCGAGTGGAAGGGCCGTACGATCTGCGCATCCATCGGATGTGGGCGACCAACGGGCTGAGCGGGGAGGAGCTGGAGGAAGAGAGGAGGATATGTGGAGAAGAAGCGGTTTATACTTCTGCTCCGGCAAGCCCTGTCTCTGTGGCGGCGGGTAGTAGTAGCAGCAGCAGCGACGGCTCAGCCTCGACAGCGAAGGTTGAGTCGGAGTCTGGCCATGTCGATGATGACGATCACTCGTCGCTGGTTGAGAGGGAGTCCAGGGGCTTGGACCGGTTTAAAGATCTGAAGGGGTTCCAGAAGAAATGATGCATCGAGCCCTGCCAGCTGTCAAATATCCTGCTATTTTAACTAGCTAGCTAGCTAACTTACTGCTGCTTGATTGAAATGTTACTGGATGGCGTCCAGCCAATGAAGGCGTTGGTGGTACATGGCTGATGCAGGAGTATAACTGTAAGATAACTGTAAGATAACTATAAGAGAACTTCACGTAAATGACTATAATAAACAAATGAAATAGCTAGCTAGTTAGAGACCTGACAATAGTACCTGAACTTTTCCTCCAGAACCAAAGTAATTAACCGTAATGATGAGCTCAGAATCCTGCAGGTGAGAAGGAGTCGTGATTAAAAAAACGCAAAGACGTTTGCTCTTTTTCAACTCCTTCCCATCTCCATGACTACATTAAAGTAAACAAGCAAAGAGGTAGAAAGAAATAAAAAGTAGGACAAATGGAAGGCGGACGAGGGCGAGGACGAGGGGAGGGGAGAACTGGCTGTGAAGCCTTAATCCTTAATTCCTTATGCTGGAATTCCTATGCTGGTGGTGGCATCTTTTTGTACAGAACCCGGCCATAGGTCAGGTTCCAATCCGGGGGTGGTTTAACCGTGGCTATGTTAGGGACGAAAAGTCTCGCCGGTAAGCCTCTCGAAAGCCTCGATGTACTTGGCCTCGGTCTTCTGGACGATGTCCTTGGGCATGATGGTGCCGTCCTTGCCGCGGAGGCCCTCCTGGGTGAGCCAGTCGCGGAGGAACTGCTTGTCGAAGCTGTCCTGGGACTTGCCGGGCTGGTACTTGTCCAGGGCCCAGAAGCGGGAGGAGTCCGGGGTGAGGACCTCGTCGATGAGGACGATCTCGTTGGTGACCTCGTCGTGGCCGAACTCGAACTTGGTGTCCGCGATGATGATACCGCGCTGCAGAGCGTGGAAGGAGGCCAGCTCGTAGAGACGGATGGACACAGCCTTGATGTCCTCTGCGTACGCAGCACCCACAATATCGGCAGCTATCACAGCATATCAGTATATATAAGTAAAAAAAGTGTAGTATAGGAGTATATAAGTGAAAAAAAGGGTACCTTTGTCTGGGTGGATGTTCTCGTCGTGTCCGCCCTGCTCGGCCTTGGTGCTGGGAGTGAACAAGGGCCCGCCGGGGATCTTGTCGCTCTCGACGAGGCCAGAGGGCAAGGGGATGCCGTGGACGGTGCCGGACTTCTGGTACTCAGCCCAGGCAGAGCCGGCGAGGTAGCCGCGCACGATGGCCTCGACGGGGAAGACCTTGAGCTTGCGGACGACCATGCTCCTGTTCTTGACGTAGTCACGGCAGGCCTGGGGCATGTCGCCGGGCATCTCGAGCGAGACTAGATGGGTGCGCAGCGAGGGCAGGGCGCCCGTGAGGAACTTGAGCCAGTAGACCGTGAGCGAGGTCAGGATCTGCCCTTTGTTCGGGATGCCCTGCGCAGTCAATCAGCACATACTCATACACAGACACAGAAGTACACATAGAGAGAGAGATAGAGAGAGAGAGAGAGAGATTACATTCTGCATCAGCACGTCGTAGGCCGAGATCCTGTCCGTCGAGATGAAGAGCAGCGTGCGGTCGTCGACCTGGTAGATGTCTCGCACTTTGCCGCGCGAGACCAGCGGCAGAGCGCCGTGCAGGTCGGTCTCCTCGACGAGTTCCAGCATCCTGTATATAGCAGCGGACAGACACCGCAGCGGCGTCTACAGGTGGTAGAGTGTAGAAGGGCGTCTTTAAGAGTGTAGAATATGTAGATGTAGATGTAGTAGAAGAAGTGTGTTGAGTGTAGTGAGCAAGTGTAGATGGCGGGGCGCGGCGAGGTCGCTATTTAAGCACAAAAGGTCAACGCAGAAAAAAGACGAGCCAGCGACCAGCGACCAGCGACCCTGGGATGCGCTCTTTGCTTCTTCACCATCGCCAGCGGAGAGACGGAGCAGACGAGCCAGCGCTGACGGGCGGCTGCACAGCACTAATGCAGGCTCGGTCACAGCGACGGTAGCGAGACAGCGAGACAGAGACACACGGAGCGCCGGGCTGAAGAAGGAAGACGAGGACGGGTTACTATTCGAGCTGCCTGCACACTGCACCGTCGTCCAGCATGATGTTTGCTGTCCGTTTGCTGCTGTCGCGGTAGAACTATCGACTGCAAGACGGGAAGACACAGGCGGGCCCATCACACACTCGATTACAGACGAGACTACAGGGGGAGACGAAGAAGAAAAAGGAGCAGCAGGCGGACGGAAGAGGAAGAGGAAGACGCGAAGACAGAGACGAGAAGACGAGAAGATAGGACGAAGAAGAAGAAGAAGAAGAAGAAGAAGAAGAAGAAGAAGAAGAAACAAGCAGAAGCAGGATGCCGCGGTTTCTGACACCGTCCAAGGTTGCGCTGCTGGCGCTGATATCCATCTACACGGAGGGCGTTGTGCCCAGCTCGGCCGTCGTGCCTCTGCTGGCGTTTCTCGTCTCGCATCTGCTGCCGCTGGAGGCGTCCCGGACGGTGGGACATGGACATGTACATGGACATGGGCTGCCTGCGGACACCGGCAGCAGCAGCGGAATCGTCGGGAGCAACAGCAGCAGCAGCAGCAGTGGCGGCAGCAGAAGTAACAAAGAGACGGCGGCAGCAGACGAGAGGACGCAGAGGAGGACGGCAACGGTGCCGCTGCAGGGGACGCCGTCTGTAGAGGAAGTGGAGGAGGCTACGAGCTGTCTGGCGTCGTCCGTCCCTGGCAGGTCGATATGGGATCTCTTCCTCAAGCGGCTGTGGCAGTTCGACTGTGCAGACACGCTGGACGAGTTCTTCTCCAGCCTGGCTGATATCCTGGTCAGGTCGCGGGAGGAGAGGCTGCTGGACCCGGACAGGGCAAAGGAGGAGGACGAGGAACAGAAGAAGCACGGCAGAGTGATGCTGGCCCGCCACTCGCCGCTGGGTGCATTTGTGCGCAGAGTCCGGCTGGAGTATACGAAGCTGCAGTTCCACGATGCCATGGCCCTCTGGAAGGCCTTTATCCGGTACAGGATGCCTACATACGCTGGCTGGGCAAAGAGGAACCCGATTGAGGCACCCCAGGGGACCGTGGATGCGAACCTGTGCGAGCTCGGCCTGGGTCTCGACAGCCCGCTGGCCAGGGTGATGTACGGTGACCTGCTCGCTGACGCTGACGAGGCTGGCGAGGGTGACGAGGGTGCCGGCATGAGCGTCAGGGACGTCGAACGCCTGCTGGAGTTTCAGATATCGAAGATGCAGGGCAAAGCAACCAGAGTCCCGCCCGGCATGATGGCCCAGCTGAGGCGTGTCATCATGGCCGGTGCAACCGTGCCTTGTCTTTTTCACTACCTAAGGTATGCACCTTTCCGGCCCCCTTTTCCCCGTCTCCCTTTTTTTAGAGTCACAAACAAACGGAAGAAGACGAAAAAGGGAAACGAAGAAGATGATGAAGGGGGAAAAAGAAGAAAAAGAAGAAGAAAGCTGATGGTGGTAGATTCCTTGACTCTTGGAAGGCCGGGGACCATCCGTCGTCCCTCGACCATCTCCATCGCTACTTTGACTACACGGTCCAGACCAGAGACCGCACTTTTTACCAATATGCACTGCTCAACTTGGCCCTGCTGCAAGCCGACTTTGGCTGCCTTGGAGAAGCCATCTCCGCCTTTCAGGAGACCATAGCAATCGGGCGCGAGACCCATGACATGAACTGTCTCAACTACTCCATGACGTGGCTCTACCACTTCGGAAAGATATCCCCTGACGAGCTTGCAGAGATACACAACACCGGCATGCTCGGAGCTGACAAGGAAGCTCTCGCTTTCCTGCAGACCAAGGCAAAGGAGGCAGAGATGTGGGGGATGCTCAGCACTGCTCTTCTCAGCGAGGGCAGACTGGAACTGGCAAACGTACGACTTGCCCCTTTGGTACCTTTGTGCATTCTGACCCGTTTGTACATTCTGAGCCGTTTCAATGTCCTTTTCGTCTCCCTCTTTTTGTTTGCTCTATTTATTTTCAATTTGACTAAAGTTTATATAGGGAGGAAGCATTGCATCCACATATGAAAGTATCATCAAGGCCTCCCATGTCTGTATAACAAGGGGCAGACAGGACTCCATGGGCCCTCAGATGATGCTACATGCTTCTCTCTACAACAGACTAGGTTGGTGTCTTGTCGTGGGCCCTGCTATCCCCCAACGCATAATTTTATGCTAATACCGGAAATTGCGGACAGGACTCAATCATCTTACTTGCTCAACATACGAAACATTCCTTGAGTGCTACTCTAGCTTCTCTCCGATGGACGACAATCTATGGGCCACGTTCCGCTGGGCGCAGCAGGTGAATTCTGATCCAATTTCTCCCTCCCTCCCCCTTATGTCTGTCTAACATCTTGTAGCTCTCAAAGAACGGAAGAAATGAGGAGGCAATGAATCTGATGAACAACCTCCCTGCCGATGACTTACAGCCTCTCAAGCACCAGCAAACCTGGGCCTTCAACAAGGGCCTTTTGAAACTAACACGCCAGCTAAACCGGTACGGCCCGCCCCCAACCCAGCCTAACCCAACACCAACACTCCTTGCTCCTTGATGCTATATACGTGTATGCATGTAATGCTATATGCTAGGATCGTATCTAACGAATCATACAGGAACGATGTACGGGCTTCTGACCATCTACTGAAACAGCTGGAGGCCGCCTCGCCACCAGACCCCGAGACGCTGAACGCGCTCAACCTGCTCAAGATCGAGTTCATGACTCGCCAGGGCGACTACGAAGAGGCTCTCGAGATCGTCCGCGAAGTCGCTGCGTCGATGCACCAGAACAACTTCGACGTCGCCACCCAAATCAGCCTCCTCATCGCCAAGGCCCGTATCTTCGACAAGACAGGCTCGCCCGAGCGAGGCTTCACGATGGCCATGCGCGCCGCCAAAATGGCCTACAGCTCGCGAATGCTGCAAAGCCTATGGGACGCTATCGGCGCAGTGTGCGTCGTCCTCATGAGTTTCCATGAATTCTCAGCCGCACTGCTCATCCTGGAGGCCGTGATGCCGCAGGTGTTGGAATGCGAAGACCGTGCGCTTGCAGGAAGGATGTATTCCCACCTGGCCGACGGCTACGTTGGGTTGGCGGGCGAGAGTCGTGATGATCCTGTACGCAACAAGGAGTTCCTCGCCTGCGCTGTCGAGTGCATCGACTACGCCTTTGCCGAGTACTCGGCCATCGAGGATTCCCTTGGCCAGTGCGAGATGATGGGCAAGAAGTCTACCATCATGTACCAGCAGCGAGACTTGACCCTCGCCAACGACTTTGCAGCCAAGTACCTGGTTCTCAAGTGCCAGGCCGCCTCGGAGTATCTCTAACTTCCACTCTTCCAATCCACCACTTCCATCATCCATCATCCATCACTTCTGTCACTCTGCTACTTCTACTACTTCCGTCACTTCCGTCACTTCTTCCACTTTCTATCACTTTCTACTATCATAGACCAGCCACTTAGAGCAATATCAGTATCAAAACTGCCTTGACCCCTAAGTCTACCTTGTATAAACCTGTTTGGACCCACTAATTCCCCCTTCGAGTAAACCATCACGTGTCTAACTTTTCACTGACTCAGCCATGACTCAGCCTCCTTTTGCCACTCTTCGCCGCCTCCAGAAGCGGAAATTCACATCTTCTTCCTCTTCTTCTTCTTCTTCTTCCCCAACTTCAACTTCAAACATCGTCAACTTCATCTCCAGCATCTGCAAGTTCTCGCGGCTCCAGCTCTAGATATCTTAGATCTCGCTTGAAAAGGCCCCCTCAAGACCAGTCCTAAACCACTCCAGCACACAGAGAAGACAGAAGTTCCGTAGTGTTCTTCCTCTTCCTCCGCCTCTCCCCCCTATAACCCGATCTTAGAAGAGTTCCGGTCAACAGCTGAGTTTATGTCCATCGAAAACCTCAAGACCTTTGGTACGTTACTCTTCCTCTCTCCCATATGCAGCCTGCCTCGCTGCATCACCGTCTATGCATCTCAGCGTTCGTTGCACACAGCTCCTTGTTCCAGCCTGAAATGGCGGGGTAGAGCGGTTGGGACATAAATTTTTCCTACTGTGGCTTGACAACGCAACACAAAAGGGAAAATAGAAAAAACACCTGGGCTAATGTCACTTTTCTCGCGATAGACCCCTTCGCCGAAGCTGACGAAGACACCGGCGACACTAAAAAGTCGCAAAATTACATCCATATACGGATTCAGCGTACGTCATTTTTCGATATTTTCTTACCTTCTCTCGCTTTTCGCCCCCAAAAAGCCCAAGGAAAATGATCGTCTCGTGACTAACGGTTTATGCGTGTCTCAGAACGCAATGGTCGTAAGACTCTGACGACTGTCCAAGGTCTCCCGAAGAAGTTCGATCAGAAGAAGATCCTCAAGGTCATCAAGAAGAAGTTCGGTATGTTTGCCGCCGCACTGTTGCCCCGTAAAACCTTAAATCCGAGTAGCTAACCGTGACTCCCCGGGAACAGCTTGCAATGGCACCATCGTGACGGACACCGAGATGGGTGAGGTTATTCAGTTGCAAGGAGACCAACGCAAGGATGTCCAAGAATTCTTAGTCGACAAGAAGGAAGGACTTGAGCTTGATCCCAAGACCATTAAGGTACGACTCGCTCAAAGGGTGTCTTGATAAAAAGAGTAATCATCGTTCTAACTCACCACTACAGGTCCATGGTTTCTAAACGAAGCGTCACACCCCTTGTCCCGTCGCTGTCTTACGTCTACCCCACAGACCCCTCCGATGGCTGCGCTTGTACCCCAGGATTCGTCTTGCATTAGCATGTGCCCGATCGTTCTCGTTCTCGTGTTCTGCGGAATTTACACTTTTCGTAGTGCTGATATCGATTTTGAACGGTAACACACCAACGCCAGATTCTGTCCTTACAAGTCCGGCGGTCTCCGCCAGTCGAGGTAGACGCCAACTCTCCTTGAAGATACCCCGGGTGTGACTTGACCTTCTTTCCTCCCCCACTTACGTCGACTATTAACCAACGGGGGGCAGAAAGACGGTCACGATGTCTCTTCGCATGGAATATTTTTAACGACAGCAACGAAGATAACGATGGGACAGGGAGGGAAAAACAGTTACCATGATCAGCTTCATAGCTCTTCTGTGAGCTGGTTGCTTTCTCAATATTTTTTCTTCTTCTCTCACTATTCTTACCATTTTCCTTTCTCCGTACTTGTGCTTCGTTTGTCTGTTTTGTCACAGGTCGTTACTCGATTTGCATGCATGCAGCAGGCTATAGCACTTGTCCGACACTCGTTAGCTGCTATTTACCGCTGTTTTACGTTAATGCCTGCCTTCGTTCCCTATCTCACATCGGGAATGGGAACGGGACAGGGAGTAACCAGGTTATGGCTATTAAAATTAGGAAGAACAGTAATGCAAATTATTTTGTTTTTTCACCTGCTCATAGATCATCTTGTAGATGAAGATCGTGAAACATTTGAAGTAAAAAGGCCGAAGCCTTCAAGTGATAAGTGATAAAATATGTATACTAAGTAGCACGAGGCTCGAAGATAGCTAAATAACCAAAATCCGAGAGAAGAAATGCAAACAAAAGGGGAATAGAAGTTAAAAAGGGGAACGGAGACAAGGGGGAAGGGGAAGGGGGAATGCAAGATAAGTGTAATGAAAGTATATGCCAGCGAGCCCCTTGCTCGCTCAAGACCCGACTCTCCACTCAATCATCCACTGCATACCAACATTCCAGGCTTTGTGTAGCATGACGAAAAGGGGTATCTCCGGCTCATTCTCACGGGATAAGTGAAGCTGTAGTAGTAATGACGACATACTTATGAAGCTTGCTATGGAGAAAACCGATAGGGAAGCCTTGGTTTCTTTCTTGATATTTATCTTGCGTTGAGTCAGGTGGTAGAGTAGAGTGAGGATCTATATATGGGTAAGCGGTGGTGGCCCGGGCTTAAGTGGAATGAAGATGAAAAACTGACTGAGGTGATTGATATCCAGGCTGGGAGGAGTAGACGAGGATCTGAAGAGGCACCGGAGAGGTAAAGGATCCAGGATGTGAGATAGGCGATGAGGCAATTTATGGTGAGAAGACGGATTATGACTGCTGGAGGCGTATAGTTTACAAGCCTGTAGTTGTTAGATCATATACGAGCATACAGTGCGTCGAATGTAGGCATACCATCTTGACATCATACAGTCAGTGAAAAAGTAAGATAAATATGCAGAGGCAGAGCACTACAACACGGCGTTAGTATGCTTTCGGCTCTTTTCTTACGGTTGAAGTCATAATGGGGGTATACGCACCCACATAATAGCCAAAGCTACTTCAGTCACCCTAAACCGTCTGTCCACATTCCAGTCCACTGCTGCCCCCCGAACAACAACCGCCGTCCACCCTTCCTGCCATATATGCGGACTAATACGTAGCAATTCAGCCAGAAACGTAAACGCACAGCGGAGCCCCCACCACGCAGCTGGAAGAATGCTCAGAGCTCGACATACTAGCAGCGGAATATACCACCGACGATCAACGCCCAGTATTACCGCCACTCGAGGATGCAGCCTGTTTGTAGTAACGTCTCTCGGTACAGGTATATCATCTGTAAGACTAGGAGAAGGAGGAATGTTGGTGGATGTCGAATGGAGGGTAGAGGGAGACGTAATTGAAGACGACAACGCGGCTGATCGAAGGGAATGGTTCGATATGGCTTCTACAGGTAGTTCCGAGTCTAAGGAAGGGTTAAAGGGAGCGTTCCGGTTGCGAAGGCCAGAGACGAGAGCATTGCGGCTGCGGGTTCGAGGTGGTTGGAGAGGAGGAAAGGAAGGGATTTTGAGAGTAGACGCCAGTCTCAATTCACGGCATAGAAGCCGTTACCCTTCCTGCCTCAAATGGCGTAGTATAATTCTTTGTAATAGAGAGCTGGACGGCTATTGGGAGTATCGTGGCAGCTTTCTGTGTTGTTTCAGTAGACGGGGAGTTGCACTTGTTTTTGTTTCCCCACAATCACCGATAAGCCTCGAAGCAAGTAGAATTGGGTTGGATCGGGCTGAAGAGGTAGAAGTGGTATCAACGGCAGTACCGCTCGGTAGAGGTGATTGTGTCCTAAAGTGTTGCCGAGAATATACGATGTCTGATATCCTTCCAGCCAAAGTACGTCTTGATTGTGATGTGTCTCGTGTGGTGACGTGTAAGGCGTTAATTTGGGAGATAGTGGTATCTGGATAACCATCAGCACTCATTGATATCAGTACCGCAAAACAGAAGAGCATGAAACCAACCTATCTAACATTATTAAACGCCCGAGAGAGATATTAAATTGAGATTCTGAGAGACGACGAGATCCATCGTTAAATTAAGTGAACAAAAGGAAAGATAAAAGCGCAATCTTAACTTTACGACGTCACTGCTTAGTAAGAATATTATTAACAAGAGTCACACGACACAAAATAGAATATATCTTAGTCTCGTGATCAAATTTACATGACTAAGTAATATATCGCCTAAAGAGGTGATTTCAGGCTTATTAATAGACATTTACAGAAGGGGGCAAATATTACTTTTATTACATCAATAACACCAATGAATTTATGTTTAATGGTAATATATTACCGTGGGAATACCGGATAAACTATTTAGTTATCCGATCCCAAAACGGACTAGCGCATCATTATTCGAGGTCGAAAGTTGGAGATAGGAAAAAAAAGCTGAAGAAGCAAAAGACGAGGAGTTCAGAATTGAGAAGAAGCCGGAGACAGACAGGATTCACTCTTTTTCCTCCCGGGCGCAGAGACAGTCAAGCGTCAGGCTCTGGCTCCCTAATTGACAGATTATACTCCGGTCCGGGCTGCCCTGCAGTTACCAGCGAACAATCAACATGAATTCCTCCATCCGACGGACGCTCTCCTCCACCGCTGTCTCCCGCCCTCCCTCCCGCTCTGTTGTGTTCCAATGGTCCTCAAAATGCGCCTCTCGATCCTTCTCACAGTCCAGTTTAAGAGCCGGAATGATGGCTCCTAAAGTCATGACTCCTAAGCCTCCAGCGCAAATGGCGATGAAGACCCGTCTAGAGGAGACCATGAGGGGAATTAATAGCTCGATGGTACCGGATGACGTTGGACTACTGCCTGGTACATTCGTTCGGCCAGTATGGAAGAACCTTCCCTCGTGGTTTTCAGACCCAAAGATGAGATGGCGTATGGAATGGATGCATTGGAAGATGAAGTTTTTGAACTTCGTGAGGTTTGTCTTGACCATCCAGGAGTATTGGCTTTATTGCGTAGGAGAAGTTCAATGCTAACGAAGGATTATATAGTTTACTTACTTACTGCAAATATGTAAATAAAAAATTGCCTATGCGCCTTCGAGAACGAAAGAAGAAAGCAATTGAGCTCCACAAAGACATGTATACCCATTTTGCCAGGTACGGACTCCGCACACATGCTATAGCGCAATAAGAGCTTCGCTAACAATGTGAATTACAGTGGTAACCTTGGTGCCCTCCAATCCTACTGCTGCGCGGGCATCTTCCAGTCATTCGTTACTCGCGTTTCCAAGCGACCTCTTAACTCTCCAGAACTTGTTTGGAAACTACATAAATACCTCCGATTCCCCTCTTCTATGACCATAACCGGTGCTCGTGTTGTTTCAGACCGTGCCGCGGCGCTACCCGGTGCAAAAGGCATGGGAATCAGACAAGCCATTATACGAATACAAAGCCGGCAGTCTCTCGTCACGCCACCTGCCCCTATAGATCGTTTGGGGGAGAAACAGATCCAGGAGATAGAGAGACAGCAGCAGGAGAAACAAAAGGACTGCACTGAGTACATTGTTCTCCAAAGACTTATGATAGGAGGTAAAGATGGGGAATGGAAGGTCTGGGGCTTAGCGGAGGAGACAACCACCGAGGACCTGCTAACAAACCCAATGTTTATGCAGGGACTAACGATGAAAGACCGAATTGAGATGTTGACCGCAAGATGAGGCTGGCCAGCCCAATGTTAAAATATAACTTTGCTGTGTTTTTGGAAGCGTTTCTTTCAATGTACTTTTATATAAGAGCTTCAGCTGGACAGTCTCCTTATAAACCTGTAGATATACGAACATGTTTAGATTTTTAATTCTCTAATTTTTGATCGTGACATATACTTGTTGTATTATATTCACCCTAACACTAACAGCTATCTACTATCCCAAAGTTGCAATTTCACAGTTACCAAGCCAAAAGATATAGATAGTATGTCTACCTAGATGACCGGAATTTGGCCCCTTCTTCGTCATTATTGCGGATGGTTGCGTCTGTACCGGTAGCAATAAACTCTGGCTCGTCCAAATGCATAGGCCCGGCAGCCATATGGGAACGTGGAAGTGGAAGATCGAAGACATCAAAGTGTCGGCCGGTTGTCTTTGAAAGTATAAATTTATATCCAACCCGTAAGCCTAGAGCAAGACAGGCAAATATCAAACCACCAACAGGGGCAGCAACAAAGGCTCCTATATCAAAGTTAGTAGACGAGCTCTAAGCCATAAATGAAAAGGGAACAAAAAGCCATACCGAATGCACTCCAGTCATTGGCATACAAGCCGTTTTGTAGAAGAATCAAATTTCCTCCATCAGTGGCATTGCCGTAGTAGATGGTACCGAAGATGAACACGGACAATATACCGCCTAGACCACCGACGATGACCTCGAAAGCAGTCCACCAGTAAAACTTATCAGACAGACCCAAGACAAGCACAGGAATAGCAGATGCTGAGACAAGGTCGGAAATCAAGAATATTCGCAAAACACTGGGCGATCGAAGAGCTACCACAACGACGGGTATGATGCACAGGACAACGCCGATACGAACGTATATTAGGGGCAACTTGTTACGGAAAACGTCGTTGCTAGCAGTGCTGACCATGGCTGATTGAAGACTGTCAAATGCCGCCGTGCTCAGAGCAACGGTCATCACCAAGACGATACCGACGACCCAACTTGGTAGCTTCTCCAGCAAGAGGAAGAACGCAATTGAGCCTGCTTGGGGAGGATCTCCGGGCCATACACCAGACCATGCTGCCAGAAGACCAGTGGATCCAACCAGGACCAAGATGCAGAGGACAACAAAACTAGCAATGGAGATTCCAATGCGCAGGTCACGATCTGTCTTTGAAGCGAAGGTTCGCAACCACAGATTTGACAGGAAGAAGTCATTAGTCAGGATGGCCACTGGTAGAATGTAAATCAGCTGCCATCCTAGCAGAGTCGGTTTTAGAAGACCTGAGGAATCGATAAGGGACTTGTCGATATCGGTTCTGGCTCCCACGGTGATAACTGCAATGATAATCAGGCCCACGACCATGGCTCCCTGGATGTTATCCGTCAGGAAAGAAACCTTGAAGCCACCGAGAGAGGTATAGATGGTTGTCACTACGACTTGGACAATGACAGCCGGGAGTCCATTAAGCCCTGAAAGAGCAGTGACAATTTGCTGCAGCGCAGACAGCTCAGCAACCATGTATAAGAACAGGGTAATCAGCCTGTATGACAGTTAATATAGAAGTCGAGTCGTATATCAGCCAGTGACAAAACCCACGTCAAGATGCTGAGATAGATGCCTGCCACCACGCCATAGCGCTGACGAGTCCATTCCGTCAAAACGAACACTTCAGGGAATTTTTTCCGAATGATCGGTCCAACAAAGGCGAATGCCAGTAAAGGCAGTGCAGATGAAAGTCCATATACAACTAGCCCCTGGACACCCGCAATAGTAGCAATCTCAGGATACGTAAATAGAATCCCCGATCCCAGAGCTGTGATTCATTAGTATATCTCAAATCCCATTCAAACATAATATATCAGGACATGGGGAAGGGAGGGGAAGAAGCGGCAGCACGTTTCCCACGCAAGCATTATCTTGATCGAGTATTCAACGGTACATTCTCAGCATCATGTCTGCACTGGAATCAATGATCTCATCTGGCTCACGTAAATACCCAAGCTGATGTTGGATCGTCGACGGCATGTCCAGTGCAGCAATCAGCACCCGTAGTGTTGCCGCAGTGCGTGTCATACTGGAGACATGACATCTTCAGAACAACACGCACCGAACTTGAATTCTCTGATACGAACCTGGCTTTACTTATGCATAGCTGGTCATTGATAATCCTTCCGCATAGTCGGTCGAGCACCTGCTCACGATGCTGGCCGTGCTGGTCTTGAAAGCTGCCGCTTCTAGAAGCCTATAGCATAACTCTGCTTCCTTCATGCAACTCACCCGAAGCAATGAAGTTCAAGGCAAGCGGTATAGCTGTATAAGATGCATATTAGCTGCTGTAACCTGTAGAATGATAGTAGTTATGGCAAGGAGCTATGGCCCGGGATATAAGCTATATTTCTCTTTCTAACCCTTTTGTGTCCCGTTGCTAGACAAGAATTCGCCCTTGGTCTGATTCCGCAGACGCCATGCGATGTATAGACCCGCGACACTGTAATAGATATGTTATTTAGCTGCGATATGCATCATGAACCGGGATTGTACGTACAGGAATGCGCCGTAGGTTAGGTAGATCAGGGCGTTTGAAGCCTGAAACGACGGCTGGCCCATGGCTGGTTTGATAGCTAACTATCCCGCTGAGTCTAGTAGTAGATGCTCACCAGCTGCTAATAGATAAATAAGTAGAAGTAATCAGATATATAGCTAACGATAACATGCAAAGCGGAGGAAAGCAAGTGAAGGAATTTTTTCCATCTCATGATCCATCTCGGCAACGAACAAAATCGGCTTTCTCTTAGCGGCTTCTTGGGGCCAAAAGTAATTATGGACCATGGTGGGTTGCTTTTGATATCTCGTATTCAACAGTAGATATTGGCTGCGATTATGGTGAATATAGACGATGCAGGTACTGCTAGATGTTTAGATGGGATATAAGATGGCAGCACGTCTACCCGACCAGAAGATATAAAGAACATGGCATCTTATGTACAGACAGGAACGTATTGAATGAAACCGAGAGGAAAAATAAGGAAGAAGACCCAGAAAAAAAACATGCCCGTCCAGTATCCAGCCCTTTGTTCATCCGTTCGTTCATGCGTAGATAGCTTTATCCCTCGTCATCATCCAATATCCGAGTATATTCGTCTTATCGTGTATGGTATTGCCGTGTAGATTTGTCTTTTTTAGTTTAGTCGTCGTCGAAGATCTGGAATGTGTTTTGTAGTATTGTTTCGATTACGCGAGCTTGCCAGCCTGAGTCTGCGATGCTACGGCCTGCGTTGGTGCCCATGAGAGTGAGACTGGGAGGGAGGTTAGTAAGGGTCGTAGAAAATGAATTTGAGAGCAATGTCACACGTACCCAAAGCTGATGGCGATGTTGCCGGCATTCATCCTGTTCTCCGAGCTTCGTTCTTGGACATGGTTAAGATGCTGTGTAGCGTTAGTATACAGATATGGCCCTGTAATTCAATGTTCGAGGACTTACCAGTATCAGTGCTCGAAGAGTAGCGTAGTTAGGGTCGGGAAGACTGTTGATCAATGCATGCAGCGCATCTCGACGCTGGATATCATCGTCTTTACCTGTTTAACGGGTTAGCAGGTCATCAAGTGTGAGCTATAGGAATGTAACTTACGAGCTGCATCGATAAACGCTGCGTACCGCTCGTTAGTGAATAGCGGATCAGGCAGGTCTCTAAAGAACAACTTCAACAGACCAGCAACGCTGTTGACGTCATGGTAGAAGCTTTCCGGGTTGGTGAAGTCGACTTGTGATGAATCTGGTATATTTATTAATATGTATCCGCCAAAAGCGAAAAAAAGAAAGATAGAAGAAAAAGAAAAGAAAACGGGGGAGGTACCGTTATCGAAGAGACTCTTCATGTGAGCTATGTGGTTGGTGTTCCCTGAAAGCCGGTATATGCCCTCTACGTTCAACCCAAACAGCTCCACGGCCTGGATACACTGATAGACGACCATGGGTATGGCAGTGCCGTCTCTCTTGAAGAGGTCGTCCAAGGTCATGCCAAAGACGGGGTTAAGGGGCGGTAACTCCGGGTGAGAGTTGAGTGGGATGTCACTTATCGAAGGCCGTGGCTGGACATGCTGAGCGAGCTGGGGTGGAGGCTGGTATGAGTGTTGCTGCGAGTAGGTAGGCTGCATTGAAGCAGGGTCGCTATACTGCGGCGTGGACGTAGGGAACGGGGGCTGGGAGGTCCATGAGTCTCGGCGTTGCTGCGACGAGAGCGGTGATCCTTGGACTCCTGACGAGTCTCGGGGTATGGGAGACATGGTATTGAAGACTTGGGATGCCGACTGGGGAGGGGGAGTTGGATTGGCGTTTAGGCTGAGGGATTGTCTCTTTGGATGAGCATTGGGGTTTGAAGCCGGCATCAACGTCTGTTCGGTTAGTCAGTATTATACACCAATGAGCTAAAGGAGAAGAAGTATACATACGGCGTGTCTCTCGTACTTGGGAGTCGGTTTGGTGTCTGGGACCTTGCTGGAGTGACTGACGATGAAGTCTCTAAAGTCCTGTTCGTTGTCGACCCGTTTGGCAGCCTCTCTCAGACTGTCTGGAGTACTGCTGCCGGTCTTCATGGGACTGACGGCCAGACCGCTCCCCAGCACCAGCTTCTCACTAAATGACGCTATACCATTATTAGCACTGCATAGTTAAAGTAGCAGAGTAGCAGTCAAAATAGTAAAAAGAGTAGAGGGGATATACCGAGTTTCTGCAGTTGGAGGGTACACCCCGAGTCACACTCCATGATCAAATCCTGCAATGCCCTGGTAGCCTGCGGTCTGAGTGTGGCAACGAGCTCCTGTCTCTGAGTCTGCGCAGCCTGCACTTTACTCGAGTAATCCGAGTCCGCCTGCTGGAGCTTCCGCAACAGGTCTTCTTCCTGCTGGGCCGCAGACTTGGGACCCTTGAGACCAAACTTGCCAGCCTGCCGCTCACCCGTCCGCGCCCGATCATACTGTTCCGCCAGGGTATCGTACTTTGCCTTTGCCTTTTCCGCCAGCAGCTCTGCGTCCTGCACTCTCTTCTCGGCCGTCAGACCGTTCTGCTTCCACTGCTTACGGCCCCGTTCCATGGTGGCTGCGAGCTCGTGGAGTTCGTCAGCCATCTGCATGAGGGATTGGGAGAAGTGGACGCCGTGGTCGGCCACGCGGTCGTGGATCATGTTCATTTCGTTGTAGCTGCGGGAGAAGCTTCCCTGGCGGTTGTCCTGGCGCATGGCGGAGTCGTGCATTGCGCGCGCGAGCTTCTTGAGGCCCTGGGCGTGTTCATCTTCGAGGATGGAGCGTTTGCGTAGGAAGGTAGCGAGGTCCTATTCTTGTTAACCTGGGATAACTTGTATGTAGTTATGTAAATAGGTAGTTGTAGTGCGTACTTTGGCAGAGGAGATGCTTTGTTTCAGGCGGGTGAGGAGGGTCACTACTCCGATCTATAGCCAGGTCAGTATCAGGACAACGAGGGTGGTGATAGTTAAATATCAAGGACGCACGTCTGACTGCAGCACTCTGTCAACCTTTGCCTGGCTCTCTGCGTGCTCTGGCTTCTCAATGTCTCGCACCGGCTCCGAGGGCATCATCATCATCGTCGCCTTTTCTGGCTGCGGCGATGTGGCAACGTCCGACCCAGGGTCCGCCATACTGAATAGCTGCTGTCTCGTCCTCTCTGTCTGTCTGCCCGTCCGTTTGTCTATCTATCTGAATGCGACTATCGCGTGTTGAAACCGACTCAGCGCTGCGTGGTTCAGCTTGATCGGTTCGTCAGGGGAAGCGGAGGAGTTGAAGTTGTTGTAAAGTGTTTGATCTCGAGTCTCACAGGTCGTTGTTAACAAGTTTAGCCACAGAGTCACCTGTACATACATAGAGTCACCTGCAGCAACTTCGTCTTAGGTGGAATGTATTAAGTATTAATTAGTTTCTGTCCCTTGCATGCGATGACGATGCGCAGTAAAACATTTTTCTATCTTGTGATGTTTTCTGTCTTGTCTAGTAGTAATTTCGGATTGGTTCGGCTTTTCGCAGCTTGTTTGGTTGCTGGGGACAGGGAGGATGAGAGGAACAAGCCACACAGCTGCGTCAGAGATAGACATAGAAGAGATAGAAGAGATAGAAGATATACGAGACAGTGATAGACATAGAGATAGACGTGGCTGGAAGAGCTTCGAGGTGGCACAGCAGTTCTTTGCTTCTTCTTTGCTTCTTTTCTTCGTCGTCTTGGTTGACAGGGCTGTCCAGGGTCAACAAGATACGAGAAGAGTTCAAGGGTTAAAGAGGAAGAAGCACTAGCAGCCTAAGGACTAAAGATACTCTTGTATATCCATAGTCATGTCATCGTTGTAGTGGTTAACTGTCTGTGTCGCCTGTCAGGTTGAGCTGGCGTCTGTCAGTTGGTCACGATAGAAATCAGACACCAACATCTACACCCAGATACCTATGTATGTACATCTAGATCTAACATCTATATCTTATACATCTATACACCTTAGGCATTGAAATGAATAGATAGAGTGCGATGAGATGACATCAGCCGAGGTCCCGCGGCTATCAGTCTCTTAAGTCGTAGTCGCTATATAAGAGCTCCATCCCGGTAGATAGCTGATGGTACTCCATACAGTTACATCTATCTCAACGCTCGACTCAACAGACGGAGACACAGACAGAGACAGACATGGCGTCAAAGGCAGTGCACATCGTGGCCATCATCTCGCCCCAGCCAGGCAAACACGACGAGGTAAGTCAATGCCTTTAGCTACTCTTTAGTTACTTCTCAACTGACAGCTTCAGGTCGCCCGGATCCTAGCAGAGGCCGCCGAGAAGGTCGAGGCCAACGAGCCCGGCGCCCTGACCTACTACGGCCTGCTGGAGAAGAAGTCCAAGGAGATCATCGTCGTCGAGAAGTGAGTACACCGTAACCTGTAACTAGTTAATAGTAGTTATGCTGATAGCTGTGTATAGGTACGTCGATATGGACGCCGTCAAGGTCCACGGCGGCTCTGAGCACTTCAAGGCCTGGTCGAGGGCGGTTGCGCCGCTGCTCGCTGGCCCGCCGGTGATCAAGTACGCCAGCCAGATCGGAGGATTCGAGTCCAGGTCGAAGCTATAACATTCTATTTTCCTTCTCTTCTCTTCTCCTTCTTCTTCTTTTGCTTCTTCTTATAAATAGCACTGCTGTGACACCCAAGCTTTTCTTCCGAGCCGGTGCTGGTTCCTGTAAGCCCTTGCACTGCATGAATAGGCTGCTACAGCTGTGTTACCGGGACTTTCTCCCCCTGATGCCGTACTTATAACGCCGGGCCGGTCTAATATAAGCAAGCAACAGCTATGCGTTCCATAGAGAATACATGTCCAGCCGCATGAACCATGAGCTGCTTTTAGCCGCCGGCCCTCGCTGTCGTCTGGCCCATCCATCTGCCTCCGTTGGCTTGTCTCGTCTCGTCTCGTCTTGTCTCGTCTCGTGTACCGTCTCCTTGCCTGGTTAACTCGCCTGCTAGTGGGTAGTGTTAGTTACCTACCTGGCCCCGGTCAGTGGCCCATCCAGTGGCCCATCCAGGTGGACTGGCGGTTCCAGGTTCCAGGGGTCAAGCAGTTAGGGACGAACAGGAGGCGCCCACTAAGGTAGAGGAAAAGAAAAGTAAGTAAAAGAAAAGACCACTCATGGCTCTGCGCCCGAGGATAGCCACTGATGCCATTGGCCGCGACGAGGGCAACGAGACAGCCTGCCAAGCGGGTTGCATCTCCAGTCGTCTGTTGAAGTCGACGTCGTAGAAGTAGAAGTAGAAGTTGAAGACGACGTAGCGGTAGAAGTCGTAGAAGTAGTTGTAGCGGTGGTGTCTCCGTATGTGAGTGTCTTATATGAGCCACCGTAGCCCCTTTTTTCTCCTATAGTTCAAGTAACCTAGGTACATACAGAGCATATCCCACGACTTATCCAAGTATAAGCATCTGGCCGTGTCTTAACTAGAGGCCTTTCTCTGTTCCCACCGTCCAGGGCTCGCTTTCTTCCCAAGTGCGTTCTCCCGAGCTAGTTCTCTAAGAAAAATTTACGACGG